TGATCTCATGCACCAACAAAAGACTTCAAATTAATTGAAGAAATAATTAATTGAAAAAAACAAAGCTTTGTATTACTGCTAAGTAACGGATCAATATCCGTACTTATTAGTCCGGCTTTACATTACAAATCATGGCCACGAATCATGAGCGTTTTTCTCTCTCCCATTGGTAAATTGATAGTAGGGTTGGAAAACATTGCCGCAGGTAGAAGCAAAAAGTACGAAAAGGTACCTTCAATTTTACTTAAAATTATAATAAATCATAATTATCGAAAAATATATCTTATATTAGGTTGGGGAAAAAGAAATCCCTTATTTTTTTCAGAAGATGGCTGTACTGATAGATTTCCCTTAAATCATCGATCAAACATTTTCAGATTTATGCTCGATGGAAGGGTGACATTTAGCAGAAAAAAATATTTTTCTGTTTTTTGTTTGGTGCATTCAGTTGTGAGTTACAGGGTGTTAAAAATTGAAGTGAACAAAGAGAAAATTCGGTACATTTTACAGTTTTTCTTTGACAAAGGCGAAAATGCAAGTCAAGCGGCTAAAATTGTGAATGGTGTTTATGGCTCTGATACTGTAACAGCCAATTATGTGCAATTTTTGTTTCGTAGATTCCGCTCAGGAATTTTTATACCCTTCACCACACTGTGGTACAGGGTATTATGTCTTTGTGCATATGTTTGTAACAGGCAAAAGGAAACGAGATAGACCCATGGTTCCTTTTGAGAATATGCATAGAATAACTTTTTAAGTCGATTTAAGCATGTCCGTCCGTCCGTCTGTCTGTCCATGTATTTTTGTGAGCAAAGTACAGGTCGCATTTATGATCCGAATTGGATGAAATTTGGCACAGCTCATTTGTTTGGCCCAAGGACGAACCCTACTGAAATTGGGAAAAATCGGTTCAGATTTAGATATAGCTCCCATATATATTTTCGTCCGATTTAATGTAAATGGTGTACAAAAGTCCCTATATATCTTTCGATTTGCACGAAATTCGGTAGAACGTACTGAATTGGGGCTAGAGTGATGTCTGCCAAATTTCGTGAAAATCGGTCCAGATTTAGATATAGCTCCCATATATAGTTTCGTCCGATTTCATGTAAATTGTGCCAAAGTCCCTATATATCTTTCGATTTGCACGAAATTTGGCACAGCGTTCTGAATTGATGCTGGAATAATGTGTGCTGAGTTTCGTGAAAATCGCATACATTATTCTGGTGTTGAATTATTCAGTTCAGTTTCTCGGTCGACCTGTAATGTGTTTTTGTTCTATTGATTTTACTGGTGTTTTAAAACAGAAAATAATGCAAAATATAATAGAATATATTTATAAAGTCAAGGATTGGTATTTTGAAACAGAGACCGAGATCAACCATATATCCTCTTCAACGGCAACGTCACAGGTATACAAAAATGGAATAAAATATTAATAATTCTATGAATATTTCAAAAAAAAAAAAAATTATATATGGGAGATATATGTAAATATGATTTAAAAACAAATCGGCACACGTCATATTAGACAGAAAACTTGGGGGTGATTGAAATCGCAAAATTTGTATCAAAATTTACATTGCATTGGTGAGAATGAATCTCAGTGGCAGATTGTCCTTGTCACTGCAGGAATTGTAAAAGTCTTGCATACAGCCACAGCACTGGTTGCTTCGAGTAATATTGATTGGAGATTTATATTATTTCAGTGAGTATTTAAACATTCGAGAGCTTTGGAGTAGTCTTTCATAGCCACAGATAGTTCTTTGACAACTGACTGATGAACCAATGATCTGCCCATATGTAACACATGATGATCGAGCAGATTTCAATCAACCTTTTTCGGGTTTCAGATATCAGTATAAACGCAAGAAGAATAAAAAGATAGTTCCTGCGTACATTGGCATGTTTGGGATCTACTTGAACTCTGCCAAAGGGATCTCAATCCCTTTAGTGGAATAATTGCTCAAAATCCTGCACGAATAATTACTCCATGTTTTATAACTCATGAAGCACATCATCCGCGATCGAAATCCCGAATAAAATATATGGTTGGGGAAAAAACAAATCCATTTTTTCTTCTGCAGATGGCTGTACTGATAGATTTCTCGTAAAGTATCGATCAATTTATTTCAGATTTATGCTCGTTGGAAAGGTGACATTTCGTAGTAAAAAAAATATTTTGCTGTTTTTTGTTTGATGCATTCAGTTGTGAGTAAAATAAAGTCGGAGAAATGATCGAAGTTGACTGGACTGATAGCAGTCGTAACATCGCCCAGGAGCTAAATATCGACCATAAAACTGTTTTAAACCATTTACACCAAGCTGGATTCAAAAAAAGCTCGATGTGTGCCACACCAATTAACGGAAAAAATAGCATGGATCGAATTTCCATTTGCTAAGCCTTAGCCAAACGAAGTGGGATAGACCCATTTCTTAAACGGCGGTGACTGGAGATGAGAAATGGAAATGACAACCCTGTGCGAAAACGGTCGAGGTCAGAGAGCAGTGAAACACCTCAAACGGTCTAACGACCATGAAGGTTCTGCTATGCATTTGGTGGGACTGGAAGCGGATTATTTATTATGAGTTGCTTCCATATAGCCAAACTCTAAATTCTGATCTCTACTGTCAACAACTGGGCCGTTTGAAGATAGTTATTGACCAGAATTGGCCAACAGGACAGGTGTCGTGTTCCACCAGGACAACGGTAGGCCACACACATCTACAGTGACTCGTCAGAAACTTTGGGAGCATGGTTGGGAAGTTCTAATGCATTCGCCATACATTCCAGACTTGGCACCAAGCGATTATCATAATTTCCTTGTATTGCAAAATTTCTTTAATGGTAAAAAATTGGTATTTAGGGAGGATTGTGAAAATCGACAACTATAGTTTTTTGCAAATAGAGAGCAGGCATTATGAAGTTACCTTTCAAATGGCAACAAATCATACAACAAAACGGTGCATATTTGGCACAAAATGGACATTCCAAACATGTTAAATAAAGTCCTATAGTTCATATAAAAATAATGGATGTATATTTCCCCAATCTTTTATATAGGGACTTCGGTAAAACATTTACATTAAATCGGAAGAAAAAGTATATGTGGGATATATATCTAAATCTAAACCTATTTTACCGAAACAGTACATTGCACAAAAGTGTTTGTCAATCGAGCAAACTTTGGACCTTTAATGCACAAACTACATAAAATCGGAAGAAAATATATATTGGAGCTATATCTAAATCTGAACCGATATTCACTAAACTTAACACAATGATTCTATACTTAATTCAATACTCTATGCCTAATTTCGTGCAAATCGGAAGATATATAGGGGTTTTGGTGCGCCATTTACATTAAATCGAGTGAAAATATATATGGGATCTATATCTAAATCTTAACCGATTTTCAAGAAACTTAACATAAATCAATCTAGACTTAATTCAGTACCCTATGCCAAATTTAGTACAAATCGATATATACGGATTTTGGTGCACCATTTACATTAAATCGGGCAAAAATATATATGGGAATCTGAACCGATTTACACGAAATTTGACACACATGCTTCTAGACTTAATTCAATACACTATGCCAAATTTCGTGCAAATCGAAAGATATACATGGACTTTTGTACACCATTTACATTAAATCGGACGAAAATATATATGGCAGGAGCTATGTCTATATCTGAACCGATTTTCGCGAAACTTAACACATATGATTCTAGACCTTAGTCAGTACGCTATGCCAAATGTGTCCCAATCGAAAGATATGCAGGGGCTTCGGTATACCATTTAAATTAAATCCCACAAAAATGTATATGGAAATTATGTCTAAATCTGCACCGATTTTTACGAAACATCTTTCCAGACTCAATTCAATACGCTATGACAAATTTCGTGCAAATCGAAACATATACAGGGACTATGTTGCACCATTTACATTAAATCGGACGAGAATATATATGAGAGCTATATCTAAATCTGAACCGACTTTCCCCTATTTCCATAGATTTCGTTCTTAGGCCAAATAAACGAGCTGTGCCAAATTTAATGCAATTCGAATCACTAATGCGACCTGTACTTTGTTTACAATTTAACATGGATAGACAGATCGACTCAGAAAGATATTATATGAATATTCTTAAAAACAACCATGTGTCTATCTCGTTTCCTTTTGCCAGTTACAAACATATGCACAAAGACATGATACCCTGTACCACAGTGAAGGGTATAAAAACCAAGTGGATACTTTTGACTGTGACACACTGTATATAATCTAGGGTTCCAGTTACACTTTTTGGTCAATTTTTGTTGCTGATTTGCAGTAGAACCTTTTTCTAGTTTACTACCGAAGTAGAAGTTACATAACGTTTCGATTTATACAGTATAATAAAACCTAAAAATTGTTTGTTTCCCAGTAGTGGAGGGTGCAGCAAATTCGGCTTCATTTTTATTGGCTTACATTTCAACACAATCGTATCCCCTCCATTATTTTCATTTTGATTTGAATCATTTTGGTTTCCTGTTTGCTATGATGCCATTTTCATCTATCTCTTGCTTACCAAAAAAAAATCTCTGGCTGTTTAGCAAAACTTTTTAACGTCTTCTGTTAGCCAAAGTCAAACAAGAGTTTCATAGGTCACTAACTTCTCAAGTTGCTTAGACACTTTGTGGTCGGTCACTTGTACATGGCAAAAAAAAAACACCAACAACATACAGAAGTAATCAAAAACTTTTTAACATTGTAAGGGGTGCATCTTATTTCATCCAAAAAAGCTAAGCATACCCGATATAACTCTCATAAAACAAGGGTAATTTGTGTGGAGTAGCAGCTAAAGTCCTCAAAATAGCAAAACATTTTAATTACAGAAAATAATCAGAAGAAATTGTATAAAACATTTTTGTTGTTGGGAGTTTTTTATCAGAAGAGACAATTTTTAAATTAAAAATAAATTTCTTACAATTTTGATATTTTTTCTCCTTACAGATTGATATACAACCACCCGAAAGAGAAGGCATCTTTTCCGAAGAATATCGACCATCAGATCCGCGTAATATTGGGCCATGCGGTGGTTTCAGTACTCAATATGCCTGCATGTGCGATTTTCATGGAGTGCCATATCGAGAAGAAGTTGCCTGGGACATTGATACCATATATTTGTCACACGATACACGAATTTTAAATTTACGTGATTTTGACCATTTAGAACCAAAGTAAGTCTATATATTTTACTTAATTTTTTTTAATTATTTTCTATATAAATTTCTTTTATTTTATTTTTGTCACAGAGACTTAATGGCCATTGTATCGGCATTGGAATACAATACATTTTTTCGTGGCTTAAAAGCTTCACATATGCGCCTATCCAATGAAACTTTGGAGCGTATATTACATGTGCTCAAGCGTTCAATGTGGCTCGAAGAGTTGCATTTAGAAGCCCTAGGTTTAAGGTGAGTAACTTTTAATATATATTTTGCTTATTGAGATTAAATATTAATTTACCCCCAATTTCTTTTTTGTAGATCCGATTTTCTGCATAAATTGGCTGTATCTGTGATTACAAACAATAATCCTGCAATACGTACCATCGATTTGAGTCATAATTTAATTGAGGATAAAGGTAAAAACAGAAAAAATGCAATCATTACAGCCACCAAATCCATTGCTAATCAATAATAACCACTAACTAACCTTTAAAATATTAATTTCCTTTAAAAGAAGTAAAAAAACGACTTATCAGCAAAGTGTAAATAAATGTCCAAATTGTGTCCCAATCGTATTAATAATATATATTTATATGTGCATATCACTCTTCTTGCCCTTTTTAACAAAAATTTTTGTGTTTTATTATTAGTTATGCTAAATCCATTTCTAATCCAATTTCTATAAAATTTAACCCCCGTATACCACTTATTTTTTCCGTTTTGTTCCCTTTTTCTTTTTTTCCGTATATGTATCAATTTCAAATTCAATTGTAGGTGCAAGCTCATTATGTGCCCTACTTGGAAAAATTGTTCAAGGTTTGATTAACAACAATTAAACAAGTGTTACTCTGTGTGTGTGTGCGTTTGAGTTTGAAATTCTTTCTTTAACAGAACACAAAAAGGAAAATCAAATTGGAAATCGTTCATTCATTCATTCATTTAGTATATCAACCAATCAATCATTCAATCGACCATTTTCAGTGTACAATGTTTGTTTGTTATTTCATTCTAAAAAAAAATCATTTGAAATTCCAAGTTGTATTTGTGTTTTGCTTTTATTTGTTGCGCTTTTGTACTTCATGCATACAACAACAAAAAACAAAAACAACAAGAATAATAATTATTCCATGAAATTCATTTATTTCTACAATGATTTTGATTTTATTGAAACTTTTCACATTGAAGAACTCTAATGAAAATCTATACACAAACAATCGTATACTTTTTAAAGCATCCTCTGACATCAATTTAATAATCTCAAGGATAAATTCTTTTTGCTGAACTTTGACTTCAAGTGGTACTACAATGCCACTGGAACATAAAATGCTTCCACATCGAAATATGCGTTAGATGTTAAATATTTTGAAGTTGGTTAAGCCAATATTTGAAATACATAGTCTCCTCCATGACTTCTGGGGTTTTGTGAAAATATGAAAATTGCTTAATACTTCACATCCAAACAGTTTATAACGTATTCCTATACATTTGACATTATCTAGTTGAGTCTTCCAAGCAAGCCAGCATGACTAGGTTACATAGTCATTGAAACAGTGGACAAGCTTTTAAGAAATCAAGTGTTAAAATCACACTGTGATACAGTAATAGACTCTTAGCTACCTTCCAGAATATACTTAAAATCTAATTTGAAGTCGAATTACGAATTTTTTATTCAATTGAGATGCTATTTGCCACGCAAAGATGTACCAAAACCCCTACGTACCGAATGTGATGGTTTTTGGAAATCGATTCAAATTTCGATATAGTGTCCATACATTTTGGTCCAGTTTTATCGGCAGGAAATTTTGCACATTTTTAGGAGCAACTCTTGTATTGAAACAAAAGTGGTATAGGGTATTATATACATCGACCACGTCCGACTTTGGTACTTTACTTACCTTCCTTCAAATAATAATATGGTAGTCTTATTCCTGATATTTAAATTTTGTATAAAGATGAAAACAATTGAAGTTTTTAGTGTATTGGTATTGGTATATAACCCCACAAAAACATTTAATACCGATTTTCGATATTTTTAATGAAATATGTCCAATATCGCAATACATACTTTCGATTAAACCTATAAGAAATCGATACGCACTTCGGTCTATGTTATAACTTTATATCAACCTACTATTTTTCCTTTTCAACTATATAAACAAACACACACTTTTATGCATACCTCAGTACCCACCCAAAAACAAACACCTCCATTTTAATGAAAATTGTATTTTTTACTTTTCATATCACCACAAACCATTTTTTCTTATTCTTAAAAATTTTGCAATGTTTAGTCCATTATGTTTATATTTAAACGTTATTTTTAACATCTTGGTTCCTCATATTATTATTAGTATCACCCACTTTAATTCTCGTTAAACTAATCAGGAAATTGCTTTTTTAAATTTACAGGTGCAATACATTTGGCGGGACCCATTGCTAAAGTCTCCAAAGGTCTGTGCAAATTGGCTTTGGCACATTGTGGCCTTACATCCAAGGGTGTTAATCAAATGTCACATTCACTGTCGCTCAATCAAAGCATTTCAAATTCGTTAACACATTTAGATTTAAGTGGTAACAATCTTAAAGATGATATAACTGTAAGTTAACAATTTACAAATTTTGAAAAAATTTAGTAATTAAATTTGTATGACTTATGTTTTTTTGTATTCAATTCCAGAATTTACACAATTTTTTAGCACAACCAAATGTTTTAGAATATTTAGATCTCTCTTCGACTGATATAACATTAGAGAATGTAAGTATTCATCATTTGTTCTTGTAAAAAATTTTAAATATCGATTTTTTTAAATTCCAGTTATTTGGTGCCCTCTTACGTGGTTGTGCAACGCATTTAGCTCATCTCAATGTCTCCCATAATTCGTTTAGCACAAAGAAAGGCAAAGAGATACCACCATCGTTTAAGCAATTCTTCACCAGTACTTTAAGTTTAAAGCATTTAAATATTGCCGGTTGTAAATTGCCCATGGAAGCATTGAAGTAAGTATAATCCTTAACATTATACAATAATAATTCGTATGAATGTATTTTGTCCACGTTTGAAGAAGTATTTAGTTTCATAACCTATAAATATTTATAGAAGGCAACTTTTTTCGCCATCTCCCTAATTTGTATATCCCTTGTGTCTCCAAGAAATATTGTCATAGATTTTTAGGATACCCATCGTCAGACATCAACAAACTGGGTCGATCTAGTTATGTGTGTCCGTCCGTCAGTCCATTATAATTTTTAAACACAGTACAGACCACACGTTACGAAATTCTGTATATATTTACTCCTAAAGGACATAGACCGGAGAAATTAAGAGTATATCCAACAGGAGTGGTTGACTTTTAATTTATATCAATTATATTGTTGTATGTACTCGGACGATGGAAGGCAGACATTTTTCATAAAATTCAGTTATGATCAAGTGCAAAACCTTTCAGTTTTCAGTGGTGATCAGATGATATTTAGGGAATGAATAAGACAGAACTTTATTTAGTCGATGTAGAGGTCGAACATTAAACATTTGCCACTTAGAAGGAAATCTGGCCAACTAATTAGAACCTACAAACCAAGATTATTGTGTAAAAATTTCAAAATTTAAATCTTATGGCAAAAATGTTCACACCGGGAAAACATGATTTGGAAAATATGCTAGGATAATAAAGAGGAGCAGATGACTTCTAAACGTTCAAGAAGACGCAAATATCGCGAAATATTGCCCAGGCACTTTAGTTGTGTAGGGTATTATATGGTCGACCCGGTCCCACGATACTGCTACGCTCACTGATTATTGATATATCTTTATTTGTAATGTAGAATTAGTTTATGGACTATAAATCCACTAGAGTGCAAAGCTATATAGTCTCGAATTAACTATTTTGATCAATTTTGCTCTTTCGATTCCTGCTTACTTATCGAACAAAGGGATAGCGCGTTCTTTACCATGGAAGCACTTCAGCACTATCTTTCAAACCAATTGGCAGTTTGGAAAACGAGTCTTCAAAATGTTCTAATTCAACCCAAGACCATTAGCAAGCGCCTATAGGTTATTAAAATATAAAGTCATTGGAATAGCTCCTTCAGAAAAAGAAAAAATCTGTAAGAATATGTATCAAATAGAAGATTAATTTCTTCAAAAAAATTATTCTTACTGGTGTTCAGCCCCACTAAATTCATTATTAATACCATAATTATTAATATATAATTTGTATTTGTTTTATATTTTACAGAAATTTACTACTCGGCTTGGCATGCAACGAGTCAACAGCTGGGCTGTATTTAGATTTAAGTGGTAATACATTGGGTGCCCAGGGTGCACATGTTTTAGAATCATGCATACATGGTGTTCGTGTTCTACAATCTTTAAATATAAGTGACAATAGTAAGTACAATCGAAGCATAGTACCACAACTACAATTTAATTTAATTAATTGCATATCTTCTTTCGCACAGATTTGGATGTCGAATTAGCTCCTGTTTTAACTTCTATTTCTAAGAATCCTTCGATACGCACATTAAATATGTGCCGTAGTTTAACTGGCATGAAATTGAAACATATTCCTACGGTAATGGAAGCTCTGGTCAATTTAATACAAAAAGATGATTTTCCATTGGCTGAATTGACTTTATCGGAAAACAAATTGAAAGTGGATATCCATGATTTTATAAATGCTTTGGGCAGTAATCAAAGTTTACAAAAATTGGGTAAGTCATTAAAAAATGATGTGTAGCAAAATAAATAATAATTTGTATTCTTCTTCCGCAGATATATCGGGAAATTATATGGGCGATGTTGGTGCCCGCTTGCTGGCCAAAGCTTTACAAATCAACAATAAATTACGCACCATATATTTGGATAAGAACAACATAACCCTACAGGGTTATGCTGATATTGTCTATGCCTTGGAAAATAATTACAGCATGCGTTGCATACCATTTCCAGTATTCGATATTGCGCCACATTTAAAAAATCATCCCGAAAAAACGGATGCCATCATGCGTAAAATGCAAGAACTGCTGCAACGAAACGGTAGCGGTTTGAAACGTACCAACGGTCAAGGATTCCGTTTGCAGCACGGCTTTTTACTCTCTTCCACACATCAATTAGTTGATAAATTGGTGGCCGAAACACAAGATACAATATCGATTGCCAAAAGTAGCAATGATTCGACATCATCGTCGGCCGTGCAACGTCTCATCGAAGATGCGGAAAATTGTAAACAATTAATGCCAAAACTACAGGAAGCTGTACGTTGTGAAACACATCCCGTCGAGGTGAAACTAACTCGTGTTGCCAGTGATCTAAGCTATACCATACAAAACTATTTGGAAGAAACATTGGAGACAATGATACGCACAGGTGTTGAACAATGTCCCAAAACATTGGGTAATCAAACTGTGATTCAAGATTTGCGTAAAGTTCTCAGTGAACGTTTAGTCATACCGGAAGGTTTTCTACAGCAATGTCTTTTAAATAATGCCGGCAGTGAAATAATGAATAAAGTTAGGTAAGTGGAGATTACTTTTAGGTAATATTAAATTAATATGTAAATTGTGGCATGTCCGTCCACCACGAGGATAACTTTACCAATATTTCCATTATATTCAATTTGAAAGTATGAAAATATGTCAAATTAAATGACATTTTTGTATGGCCTATGAAAAGGTTGTTTTCGGAGCTCAAAAAATAGGACAATTTTTTTTAAATTCATTTGTTTGAAATTTGTAATTGGGAACATTAATAATATTTAATATTTATTCAATATTTAATTAAAATGATTAACGGATGCAAGACCTCTAGAGCAAGTCCGCCGCCACTTCACTTGGATACAAATGCTTCGGTGTGTATATACATATTTGGAATAACGTACTCTGGGGTAGTAATGAATCAGAGAAAATTAGATGATATTTCTCATTCTGAGATCGTCCATATTTCAAGCTCAAGTCTTCATGATGGCCTCTTTATCAGAGCATAAGGGTAGGTGATCTTTCTCATGTTGTAGGAGCTTATTGATAATTTAACAGGCTAATCGGTGAGTATATTTGGTTCATTCTCTATGTTATAGATATTTTGAAAACCCGATCGGAGACTTAAGAAGTATCGAAAAGCAAACTTGCACGTGCGCAATATGATTTCCTTGAAGGCAAACTAACCCGCGTCTTATGTTTCTAATTTCAAGATCAGTTCTACAGGCAATATAATTTATTTACTGCTCAATCACTTTCCAGGAACACCATGCCACTTAATCTTGACTACTGGGGCGCTTTCATAAGGGCCTCCTTGAGCTTTGGCTTTCACGTCATAACCAGTTATTGCTTTCTGAAGGAGATGGCTCGTCAGAAAGCAATAACTGCCACTTAATCTTGACTACTGGGGCGCTTTCATAAGGGCCTCATTGAGCTTTTGCTTTCACGTCATAACCAGTTATTGCTTTCTGAAGAAGATGGCTCGTCAAGGACTGAGTTCAACATCTTAGAGATGTGAACGAGACACTGTTTTTGGTTTTGTATGTTAATCTATATTGGTCGGCATTCAATTTGTCACATACCTATATAGAAAGAAAGGATTTAAAATATCTATGTAAACTATTTTTTGGAAAGCCAAAAACCCCACATGTCGCTGTTTATATAGATATAATGTACTGTATCAACATGTTCAACGACAAAAGCATGTTAACTTCTATCAATCTCAACTGTAATGACCCTGATATATATACGTATTTATCTCTCCGATCGAACTTTGTAACAGATAATTTCAATGATATACACTACTTAGATAATTTCGAAATCAAATATTTGTTGTCTCTGTTCTTATGACTCTCATCACTCTCTGTACATTTTCTTTAACTCTCATTCCCATTGTTGTTGTTGCAAATCTTGTTTTTATCAAGAACAATTAAAACAAAACCAAATAAAACATTTGTTTTTGGTTTTGAATTGCTTTTGCGGTTTCATCTAATTGTTCAATTCACACCGTGATGCCAAAAGATAGCAATGAATCATATTTCAAGATTCTGCTATAGATTGTTGTTTTTTATTTACAAAATGTAGTGTAGTGTTGGCTCAAAACTACATATGTGATACACTACATGCTGCTGACATTATTTTATTTTATTTAAAATTATAAAGTCGCATCGTCCTTTAAAGAGAACACCAACAACTTTTTGTAAAGTATTACACCATACAAATAGCCCACACCCTGTATACAAAAAGTATTTTCATCAAGCCTGGATTGGTTTGGAATATTTTTTGTAACTTTTTTATGTAATATAACTTTATAGTGAATTTTTTTCAGAAATGAATAAGTAATTTATTCATTAAACCCGTAAAGAAAGTAGTAAAGTCGGACGGGGCCGACTATATGATACCCTTCACCACTATGGGTATATTAAACAGGACTATTAGCATGAAATTGGATGAAATAAAATATGTGATATTTATCTAAATGTGAATCTACGTAGATCTATCCATAAAGTATGTAAATCGACTTCAAACAAATATAAATAGGTCATCCGTTGGGCTATGTCTGTACTTCTAGAAAACGCAACTATATAGTTTTATGCTTAATTTTGTACGATGTGCAAACTTTGATGTCAATCTGACTAACATGAGGGGTTTGATGCCCAATTTACTTGAAATCGGGCGAAAATATATATGGTGCGTCAATTACTTAAAATCAATCTATAATAAAAAGGGCTATATCTGTCTAAATCTGCAACGATTTTCACGAAACTTGGCAGACATCATTCTACACATAAATGATTAGGCTGTACCAAATATCGTGCAAATCGAAAGATATATAAGGACTTTGGGCACCATTTACATGAAATCGGACGAAACTATATATGGGAGATATATCTAAATCAGGACCGATTTTCATGAAACTAGGCAGACATCATTCTAGGCTCAATTAAGTATGTTGTGCCAAATTTCGTGCAAATCGAAGGATATATAGGGGCTTTGGTGCACCATTTACATGAAATCGGACGAAACTATATATGGGAGCTATATCTAATATATGGACCGTTAAATATATATATGGGAGCTATTTCTCGAAAGTTGGCAGACATCATTCTAGACCTAAATGATTAGGCTGTACCAAATTTCTTATAAATAAGCAAATGTTGCTAGTAATCGAGAGCATAACCATTATTTTTCATTACGGCATCACATCTACGAGCATTGAATAAATAAAATGTCCAATTTGAGCCTTGGGTATATTATTCCTTACATCTTGAAACTTTGGGAAGAGGCTATGTCTGTTTGTTTGTGAAACTCTTTTAATTTTTCTTTCTATGATACTTCAAAGATTTTTCTTTAGGGTTAAGATCTGATGATAGTGTTGGTCATTATAAAGTCCCTGATTTTTGACTCCCGCAAACAATCTTTGACATCCGATCCATTACTTCGTAAATCTCATAAATATATCGAACTCCAAATAAAAAAACTGCTTGCAATACTGTGGCATGAGCCTTTCATTTTTGGACTCTCTCACGCTCATTTTTTCATGTCTGAGTCTTTAATACTTAGCTTTGATTTATCCGAAAGCTTAATATTTCTACACTGAGTCCGATTCAAATAAGTATGAGCTTTTTGGAAAGTCAATCTGGATTTCCGATTCTTTTCAGATAAAATAAATATTTTTTGCCTCATTTCTATATTTTGTAATAATATCCATCTATAAGAATCGAAATAGGTGTAGCAACCAAAAAATAGTAATTAAAAATAACTAACATTATCGAGCTCATCTGTTTGTACTGCAGAGTTGCTTTAGTTTTGTACAAGCAAAAATTGAGACAATTCCCTTATCCACAAAATATTATTTATTTCATAATGAATTTTGCATCAATGCTGTTATTTTTTAAAAGTTAAAAAATAATTATCTTTCCTTCTAAATATCAGTTAATAGTGTAGGGTATTTATCAATTGTCACCGTCAACTTCTACAAAACTATTTTCCCTTTACTTCGCCCCTTTACTTTCGACCAGATAAAGTCCAATGACAAAACCCAATAAGCAATCGCATAGAAATTTATTGAATCATCAATGGCAAATAATCCCAAAAAAATAATGTTGTCAAACTTATTTTTGGTGTTGGTGTTTTCACTAAGATTTGTTTTGTGTTTGTATTGTTTCTATATTTTTGTTTTGATTCTACCCTATTGTTAATATTTGTTGGCCAATTTCGCGCATTTCTCTATTTTGTTTAAGACGACCAACAACGGCGGGGACTATACAATTCTATTAAATCCATATGAACAAACATGCGTGTGTGTTGTGTATGAGCGTATCTCTCTCCATGGTGTTGTGTATGAGTGTGTAGTGGGTATCTGAAATGGCATTCAAGTTGAAAAGACTCTAATTGATAAGATTAATGGCAAAAACACTAGTACCAAATACCAACAACAACAAATGAAACTTTGTCTTTTATTTCCATTGTATTGCAATGAAATTTGGAGAATGGGAGAGAGCGAGCGAGCGGTGGGTAACTAGAAACAATCTTAACAAAAATACAGTACATTTGAGAGTACAGGTGTAGTAGAGATCCCTGGGAAAGGTATTCTGGGTATAAAAGTTTGAAAGGTCCTCTATGCCGAATACTTCAGAAAAGCATTGTGCCTACGGAGTACTTTTGAAAGGTATTTTATCTACCGAATACAATGTATTAAGGGGTTCAGAAGTATCTTCTATATTTTGAAGATTTTTTAACTTTCTTCTAGGTGTAGAACACATTTAGGAAGACTTCAAATTGTGTAGAATACCTTTTGAAGGTCTTGTAAGTCTAGAAGGCCTTTGAAAAAACTATGTATTGAAAACACTTGAGAGATCTCATAAGTATGGATCATATTCATGTTTTTATCCCGTGCAGCTCCTCCTTTGATGCAGTAGCGTATCGTCATTCCCTCGTAGCGTATCGTCATAAAAAAGACAACGATTTGTAATTACGACCGACTGATTGACTTGTAGATGACTTTCTGTGTTAAATTAAATTTTTTGAAAATTGTCAGGAAGAAAGGAACATTTTCAATTTATAGAACGTATCTACAGGGGTTTTACGATTGTTGTGTGGTACTAGATATCATGTCTTTGTACCGTTGTATGTAATATGCAAAAGGAAACAATAAATAGAACTCCTAAATATTTCCGATATTCTGTAAGACCCAACGTCAACGTCATATAGTCTGCTCAGTCTGACTTTTGTCCTTCCTTTCCATTCTTGTTTTATTGTATTTTGGCCATTTTGGGATTATAATTTCAATAATTTAATGGGATTGGTCATCCAACTTTTGCAACGCACTGTAAAATCTTACTTAGCTTAAAAAAATTGTGCATTTAATGAAAACAAATACAAACAAAATAAAATGAAAAAGAAAACCCAAAACAAAACACACTGACTGGCTGGTGGCGCAGTGGACTCGCACACAAAATACTAAAACCAATTTCGATTTGCTTGCTGACAGAGTGGCTGCCTTAATTGTCACTAGCGTGCGGAGTGTGGCTGTGCATATTTTGAGAATCGAAAGAAAACGCACATATACGGTACGGTGCGGCATTTTTCCGTATGGCGCGGTTCGTTACGATGTTGTTTTAAAAAAATATATACATATATTCTTCTTCTGATGCACAATTAATTAAATTGCATGTCATATTGGCGAACCTTTAATGGCGCGGCAATTAAGTGTTTAAATACAATTTTATATATGAAAAAAATAATAAAAAATACAAATCAAAACAAATAAAAATTTGTTATTTAAACAAAACACCTTAGAAAATGGGCCGTGTCAGTGATGCATTTTGTTGTTGTTTCCGTGCCCCCGCCGCTTCGTCCTATGAAATTGCACCAGAATGTGATGATGATTTCGTAATTTTAAAATCGAAAAAATCAAATCATGTCTATGATGATGGATTAAATGAACATCTTATTGATACTCATATGCAGCAGACGACAACGACGTCGCCGATACAAATTGTTAAAATACAAGATCAGCAACGTTCCAAAGATTTGCCGCCACCACAAGAACACGATGAAGAAGCCAAATTGCTAAAGAACAACAAGTAAGATATAAAACATCAAGCCAAAAATCAAAAAAGAATACCAATGCAACGTCTAAACTCAGCAGCATTCATTTCATTCGTATCCAAATTTCGAAATACACCAACAATGATATTCTGCAATTCAGCTGATTTTTTCTCTTCTTTTTTTTGTATTTTGCATTACAATGTGAATGCGACAGCAACAAAAAAAATCATAGCTTTGATATTGACATTGACTTGGCGCTATAGATTAGTTTTATATAGATGTATGTGTACATTAGGCTGGATTATTTTTTTAAGGGAAAACTATGCATTTATTGTCTGGCAGTTGAAAACATTTTATTTTTTTATTTTGAATCAGAAAGGACTTATTTGCAATGCATCTATTTGTTAATGAACCAATGAGGATCCTGCTTAACAAGATCCCAAATATTAATAGCTAATAGCTGTGTATATTAAAAAAATAAGCATATTCACGAAAATACTCACTTGTTTAGTACTTAAAAATAGTCTTAGCAAAGAAATTATGTTTTCTAGATTTTAATCAACTCTGTTATATATTGGAGACCTATATATGAAATTAAAAATTTGGGCATGCAATCCGTCACGATCTTAATAGCACCATTGAAGAATCTCAAGCAATTCAGTCCACTTTAATTACCCGATTCCCGTAGATTTTTAACCCTTTGTGGTCCAATGTTGCCTACAGGCAAAAAAATGTATTTATGCTTATATTTAGTACGCATTTATGCTATTGGTAAATTTGGAAATCAGTTGCTAGGAAAGTATACTATTCACAACCTAAATGCCATAATGGGGAGGGAATAGAATAGACTGACGAATTTCACAAATATCACAGAATTCATAGAGTTATAGGGATATGCTTCTTCTATCGTTTTCCTTTCTAGGGCGCCCAATAGACCTTGACTGGCTTAAGTGTATGTCCTCTTTAACTTCGAATTTTCCGATTGTAAAAAACTTCTTAGCATGCAACTATTAAAGGTATATACACTAGTGGCCAAAACTAAAGCAACGGAAATTGCAATGTTAATAAATGCCGCAAAACTTTTTCAAAAATAAAGATATAGTGTTGTTTTTCAGTTTTTAATCGGGTACTTTATTCACATAAAAAATATGATTTCGGAGAAATATTCCATTAATAAGTTAGTGATTTCTCGTTTTATATGTGGATTTTATGCAACTGTTTAGATAGGAGGACGGCTGCAAAAAAAGACATCAGACGGTTATCGTTGGATATAACCTCAAGAACAGAGCGTGGACGAGCTATGGCAGCAGGCCTGCATGCCCGAAAACTATCAAAAAAGTTCTTTCATTTCTGAAACGAATCGGAAAACCAGATTGCCTTTAGCAAAGTCCCATATTAATTGGAATTCGATTGAGTGTAGAAAATTATGCTCTCGTATGCATAAAGTTAAATATTAAAGATTCGGACATGAAAAAATTGCGGTGAGAAAGTCGAAAAATGAAAGGCTCATGCCACAGTATTGCAAGGTACGGCGAAGCACGGAGGTATTGTAATGGTATTGTTTTGGATTGTTTTTCTTTTTATGTAGTTCGATATATTTACGAGATTTATGAATTAATGGATCGGATCGTTTATACAAATGTGTTGGAAAACGCTCCCTTCGTTGAAAAAATATACCGCTTGTTTGGAAATTTCAGCTTGATAATAACCTCCAAACATACACCAAAACATGTCAACGATTGGTTTTGGGAATCAAAAATCAGGGTTTTATAATGGCCAACACAATCATCAGATCTTTACCCTATAGAAAAATCTATGGAGTATCATAGATAACAAAATCAAAAGAGTTTCACAAACAGACAGACATAGCCTCTTCCCACAGGTTCATGATCCAAGGATCAAATTGAGCATTTTATTGATTCAATGTCTCGTAGGTGTGCTGCCGTAGTTCTGGCCAAGAAAAAATTGGCTCAATTTAATTTTCCATAAAATATTTTTTTATTTCCAAATAAATTTTTCGTTCATATTTTTTATTTACTGTATTACCTATTTTTATCTGAAAAAACGTTCATTATAACTTTTTTTCAAAAATGTTAAAGATCAGTTTGCAATTTCAGTTGCTTTAGTTTTGGCCACCAGTGTATATTTTGACATATATATTAACAGATTAATATTAAGTATCTCACAGTTACCTGGCGTATTTTGAACCAAGTTTGCTGTTATTGTTACATACCGCAATATCAGAGTAGAAATCTTCCTCGAAATATGATTTATTACTGTAACGATCGGTTCTGCCGACGAAAACTGAACTGAAAAACTCCTCACTGAAATATATTTGGTTCAATCCAAACTTTGATTCTTTGAGGGTAGAGGGAAAAAAAATTGTCCTCCATGCTGACCCCGCTTTCACGTGTTTGAAGTAGTTAATGTAGTTCTTTTTTTTTTTGACGCTAGTTATTTTTTAACATACAATATATTGACGATTTCAAGAACTATGTTTATGTATTATTTTTGGATTTTTGAAGAATATTTTTAAAGTGGTAATTTTTGGGGTTAACTTCATGCTTGATATACTATATATATTTTTTTAATTATAGTATATATATTGGGCACTTTATAAACACGCTTAACACGTGTTTCTGTATATTTCATTATTTTTTAAACTGTAACAATTTAAAATTATCTTGTTTTTTATAAGAAATATCCAGTATTTTTGCTCAAATCTACGTCATCCATACGTTTGTATGCAAGCATGTGCATTAACGTACATATGATTATTGAATAATTAACTTTTAATGGTTCACACTAATTCTTGGTTTTCTTTCTTTACTAATTCCAGTGAAATTGAACAGTCATTGGCTGCTGCAATATCCGATCGTGCTACAGATGAAGTGTTGGAAGCTTTAACACGTTATCGTCGCGGTTTGGGAATTGCCGACTCACCCTCCGTTATGTTGGATGAACCACAAACACCCGATATTGTGCGTAGTCGCTCCAGTCATGTAAGTTTAAATGTGTCATTCCCATTTACATTCAAACACTGATACACGTTTTCGCATTATGTTACAACATTTTGTTTATTATTCTTAAGAAATGTAATTTTTACGAGATTTTCGAAAAGTATAACGAGGTTTTATTTTAATAAGAAATAATATATATTTTTTTATTATGAAGACCTAATTCATACCAATTCAATGTTATCATCCTTGGTCCATGTCGACGTTTTTAAAAATATTAACTTTAAATATTTCAAATCAAGAGATGTTAGTCGTGGATACGTCTTATGTATGCGAGAACTTTACCTTGAAATTCAATATTTCTTGCTAATTATTGGTACATAGATTATTAGGTTATTATATTAGGGTTTAAAATCAAAATTTGCTGTTTTCCGAGTATTATATTTAATGAAAAGTCCGATCCGATATAATAACTGTTCTATACAAAAACCATGAAATTGGTTTTATTTTTATAATTTTTTGTTGGAAGATTTTTCCATAAAAATTGTATTTTCACAAGGAAAAATATTTCTTTCTGCAACCTTTTGTTCGGTTGGAAATTGAATTGCGAGATTCCCAAAATAAACCACTTAATTCCATTTGGTTTACTAACATTGCCAAAAACTTAAATGCTGTATACTTTGTTCACATCTTTTCTTTTTATTATCTTCATAAAATATATAATATTGTTAAAACAAACATTGAATTTAATAGCAAATATTCTTTTTATTATCTCAAAACCAAAACTGCGTCCTATGCTACAAAGAAAAATTGGCTTTGGAATTTCTCAAACTTTTAATAAACCGCTCAACAATATTCATTAATTTAAGTATAGAGAGTCTGATTTTAATAAAAAATAATTTATTTATGAAGTCTCACTTCATTCCGAGAAGCTATTCTTACTTACTACTGGCTTCTTTGCAGCTGTGCCTTTGACCCGGGGTCAACAGGTCCTCTCTCCATTCCATTAGCTATAATTTTTTTCGAAACAGTAGCCATTGAACTCGATGTGTTTGTTGCGATCACTTTTCCTTCATACTCATTTTAGCTTTTTTATACCCTTCACCACACTGTGCTACAGGGTATTATGTCTTTGTGCACATGTTTGTAACAGCCAAAAAGAAATGAGATAGACGCATGGTTCCTTTTGAGAATACATAGAATCTCTTTCTCAGTCGATTTATGCATGTCCGTCTGTCCATGTTAAATTGTAAACAAAGTACAGATCGCAAAAATTTTTACAACGTACTGAAATTAGTGTAGTCTAACGTGTTAAGTTTTGTTGAAATCGATTCAGATTTGGATATAGCTTTTATATATATTTTCGTCCGATTTAAAGTAAATGGTGCACCAAACACCTCATGTTTGTCAGATTGACACGTCTGTCTCAAAGCACGATTCTACGCCTAACGACAAAGGTGAAGCTAAAGTTTTGGGTGGATCCACCAGTGGTCGAAATAGGAAGAAGGGAAAGTCCGGCAAAAGAAGAAGGGAAAATTAGGTATAAATCTTGACAGGGTAAGCCACCGAACAAAACAAAATGCCCTCTGATATGCCTTCTTGTTCAGTAAATATTTGGATTTTGGGCGCTGGAGTTGCCTCCTATTCTATTCGTGGCATTTTTCCCCCATTAGCATTGCCATATCGGCAAATTGCAACGCAGCTACGGAAGTTTCCACCTTTCAACACTCGGGACTTTGATAACCATAGTATCAACGTCGTCTTGCCCGTTCGTCATCGTGGCATATTTCAAGACTAAGGCGGATGCTGAAATTTTGCACAATCGGTTTGAAGGGTAATGTTGTCATTGAAATCACTTAAAACAACAGCAAAGTCGTCCTGTTCCGCGACCAATGTCATTTTGTTGAGAGTTAGCTCATGCTATTGGCGCTAAAAGAGGCCGTGTTCGGGTTATGATTGGGTTATTTGCTCTTGTGGCTTTTGAGACTGAAGTCGCCACACTGACGTCACTCGAAGAAGTTCTCTTTTGTTTATGTATTAAATTTTCAGAATCCACCCATTATTGAATGTCTATACTCATTTGTGCATCAAATCGACGACGGATTCAAAATGGTTTTTAGATTTGTTCATGTTAATTAACCAAAAACTTCTTTATAACCTCAACATTCACATTAACGCATTGTCTCTAAAATAGTTAAATATTACATTAAAATATTTTTAATGCTTTCTTTTACATCTTTTCAGGATTCGGATGGTATGATTTTACGAACAGGACGTAATTCCATTTTACCCAAATTAGGATTAGAATCACCCACTGTAAGTGTTGACTCACAGCCACCAATGTGGTTACAATGAGACTTAAAAAAACAAGCATATCACACACACACACAAACATACGTACTAGATATACACATTCATTAATGAATATTATTCTTATTATTATTGATATCAAAATATTTTATTAGAACAAAATATATATAAGTTTTATCATTTAGTCGTGAAGAAATTTAAACCAGAAACACAACGCAACGCAAGTTTCCTCATAAAACGATACAAAAACAAAATACATTCTAGTTACACTTAGATACAAAATAAGTCAATCATCAACAATTCGATATTGTAAATTGAGTTTCAAAGTTTCACAACGCAAGTAATGAAACAAAAAAGAAAACCAATCAAATCAGAATGCACTTTAGTCATCTGTCTGAGTGTTGTTGTTATATTTTTTCTTTTTTCAAAAGTTTTATTGTTTAAATTTTTAGTTGAAAACAAATATTTCATTTTATTGTTAAACATTACCATTTATCCATTTACTTATATGTCTTTCCCCCTTCTCTTTTCACAACGAAAAAATCAATATATTACAAAATAAAATCTACAATAATTCCATCCATCAATCAATCAACCAACCAACCATTCATTATCAATCATCTGTTAAATGCAATTTTCCAAAAATTCAAACTTTTAAAATAATTCACACCCAATACAAAAAAAAAACAAATCATCTCAAAAAATATATACCACAGAAATTGGAATATCTCAACCTTGTAAGTAGATTGTCTTGATGAAGCAAAAAAATAAATAAATTACATTATCTTCATATTATTACAAATAATACATAATGCATATTTTTCCTGTTCCTTTTAAAATAATTTTTACAAACTCTTTATTAAGAAAAAGTCAATGATGCATATATATTTAATTAATAAAACTATGTAAACTTGTATCTACATTCTACAAATTGTTGATTTTATCTAACACTAAACATAGACCGTAAACCTTTCGTAGCGATTTCCTTGGTGGAAGTCTGAACATAAGTAACTATTGTGTGTGAGATAGCAATTCTCAAAGTTCCCTTTCAAACTTCCTCATAGATATGGGTGGAGATGGCGTTTTTGTGAACATTTATTTGCCTATAAATAATTGTCCTCTAATATTTTTGGAGCACACTCTCTTGACTCCCTTACTCTCAGTTCCCGACTGCATCTGACGAACTGGTTTATCGGTTGATACCATTCTCTTAGGATATTTGTATTTTGTGCAATTTCCATTTGTGTAATTATTCAATATTATTATAATCATTTCAAATTGTTTAAATTTATTATCGGTCAAAAAAATATATACATTTTTATAATAAATATAGGGGAAACATCGTACAGTTTCAAAAATATATATTGTTCACACCATTGATGATGAAACAAATATCGGTTGATTTGATTAGTTTCCGCCTAGGTTGTGTTAGGATTGTAATTTTTACTGTATTTAAAATAAATCAAATTGATAATTCAATATAAATATCCAATGGGATTTAGTAAATATCTACTCCCAAGCAATAGCAAATAAACAAATAAAATGCATCATTGACTCTATTTAATGAATTTGATATATCCCCCCAATTTCCCATTTTTTTAACCGTACTAAGCATTATATATATTTTATTTATAAGCTACATGATTGTTGTCTGCATTGTTGTGAATTCATTAAATAATTTGTAGTCAAGCTTATTACTACTTTGGTAGATATACATAATTATAATTTTTTTAAGTTTTTATTTTCATATGAAATAAATATTGCATTCTACTTTTCTTGGTAACTTTCAACTAGTTCTGTTCTCATATTCCTGGCATCATCCATCCATCTTCAGTCATGTAATCATATGCATGGTTTATCGTGAATTCTTCTCCATTTATATACAAATAGTCCTAAAACTAATTACTTGCTATAATTGCTCGACTTTTTTATTAAAATATTAATTATTTTTCTTTCCTCTTATATTTTCGCTGAAGGCTACACCACACATGCCCACCAAAAGACGTTCTGTTGCTGCCCGTAAGGTACGTCCACAATCGGTTGTGGAAAATCTAAGCCTTGGCCATATACCCGATCTATTGGAATCACCCTCATCACATCGTTCAACATCACAAATATCACGCCGTGATTCGTCAATTAATGGCGATGCCACCCTGACAAGTGATAGTCGTGGCGACCTAGATGATGGAGGCGGCGATGAATGTTGTGATTCCATTACAGAATTGCCAAGTGCCTCTTTTCAGTTGCAACATCTAGTCAAAGGTCGCCCGAAAAGAGCCAAAACACGTGCACCCACCCGGCCGCTAGTTACAGCCATTGAGAATGGTAACAGTACCAAGGAAATTGGTGAGGGTCTTGATCAATTCTTTCGACCTGGTTCGGTAACACCCACCACACTAACACCCCTTGTATCACCCACCTCGGAGGAATGCAGCTCTTTATCATTCGTTGATAGTCCAACAATGAGTCGCAATGGCAATGATCACATGACCTCCGAAGAAACCACACCAATTCTAGAGGAACGTCGTCCCATAAAATTGGAACGAAATTCCCCCTTATTAAAAGGTGCTGCATGGACAACACGATCACGTTCCACTGACAATTTAGAGAAATATTCACCATTGGTGGGACGAAAATCGCCACTTGTCAAAATGCGTACAGAAGGTGGTGGTAATGGTGCCGGTGGGCCAAACGACAACGTTACAGACTCTTCGCTGCCCACAACACAAGCTGAACGTTTGCTAAAAACCTGTTCGGGTCGTGAAAGTAAAATGCGTTCACCCAGTACCGATTCGATAAAATCACATACCGACTCAACAACAGGTGCTAAAACAGGCAATGGTATTTTACGTACACCGGTAATTTTACAAAAACCACGGCCATGGTCTGTGGTGGGCAGTGAGCCAAAAACTGCTGCACAAGGAACAAATTCAGTGATGCATACCAGTACGGATTCAAGTAAAACAACACCGGAAAAATTGGATGAAGGTAAATAACGGACGAATACAATTGGAACATATCTAAATTGAATGTATTTCGTTTTTTTTTCAGAAATGGAAAGTGTACCGTTTGGAAACGGCACAACCAATAATATTGCTGGCAAAACAACAGGTGAGTTAATTGATAAGTTTAATAAAAAACGTAACAATTAAGGCTACGCAAGTTCTCTTTCTTCATTTATTTATTATTATAAACTTATAGTAAATATAAGAGTATTATATGCATTAAAAAGGCATAAACAACTATGATCTTCATTATTTGAAAAATTGGCATAAAATGCAAAAAAATCATTTAAAATGAACTTAATTCATTTTATAACAAATCTCAAATATATTTTAGTAGTAATATCAAACCATGCTTTCTTTATTTTTTGATAAAATTTCCTCGATTAATAATTAACGTATATTTTTATTTTTTTGCTGCAGGCTTGGAAAAGAAATCCGTACGGGAACTTGCTGCTGGTCTTAATCGTCTAGGTAATTTGATATGAATTTATTTGTTTTAATTATATTTTTTTAATTATTTCTGTTTATATATATATATATATATGTAGAAGTTCAAGAATGTTGTTAGTCTTAAAGAATAGATTTGTTGTTGTTTTGTTTTTTTTTTATAATGCACTTTTAAGTTTTGTTCATCACGAAATGTAATATCAGACCTGTATATAATTTGAATGAAATGTCCGATTTCTATGTTGCTCTCTCGTATTATGAAGGGAATATATCTATTCAAAGTCAGAAATCTGATATAACAGAAAAATTATAGAACCTTTACTACAGGTTTTACTTTGTGGCAAGCATTTATTTCTATACATAAAATACAAGACTATGAAGTTGGTATTCTAATGACCCAACTTTACATATAGGCAATATATGTCCACTTCATTAGGCCACAAAGGGTTATTAAATGAAAACTGCTCATTGGAATCGTTTAGATTATTTTGGTTTTGATACATTGGTAACATACGAGAGCGTATTAATAATTACTTCGTTCATTTGCCTAATTGAAGTAATTATTTTTTGTACTAGGAGTTAGCAAATACTGTTAGCTTTGCGGACACTGTACTAACATTATTGGAGCTAATCCGTGTTTGCCAATGTAAATTCCCAAAAATTACCGATCAGTCTTCAAACTTTTTTACCATATTGTAGGTCTTAATAATAATTAAGATGTACATTTATATTTTACTATATATACAATGGTGGCCACAACTAAAGCAACTAAAATTGAAACGTTAATAAATGCCACATAACTTTTTCCAAAATGAAGATATCGTTTTAAATCGGTTACTTTATTCACAAAAAAGAAACAAAAGCATAAATGCAAAATACATAATGAAATAAGTAATAATTTATGGATAAGAGAATTGTCTAAATTTTTGCTTGGACAGTACAAACAGGTGAGCTCTAAAATTTTAGCTATTTTTACCGTTATAATTATTATGTCTTGGTTTCCACACCTATTTCGATACTTTTATTTTCAGTTTGACTTACTGTCAAAAAAATATAAAAATAGCTAGAAACAAATGCAGTACTCCGATAAAACACCTAACTACCAGAGGTTGTGAAAATAATTTATCACAGAAAATGATTTCCGAGAAATATTCCATGAATACTATATCAGTAGTGGCAGTTCAGCACGAAGGAAGTCTGCAAAAAACATCAATTCGTACTGATCAACAAATTGTCATAGCGGTAAAAAAAAATACCCATTTAGGAGTTCAAGGGAATTTGTGAGACGGTTATCATTGAATATAACCTCAAGAACAGAGCGTAGGCGAGATATGGTAGCATGCCTATATGCTCGGTAACTATCAAGAAAGTTATTTGGCTCAATTCACAGTATTGCAAGGGTACTGGTAAGCATGGAGGAGGCTCAATAATGGTATTGGGTTGTTTTTCTTTTTATGGAGTTTGAGATATTTACGAGATTTATGAAGTATGGATCAGATTGTTTATATAAATGTCTTGGAAAATGCTATGGTTCCCTTCGCGGAAGAAAATATACCGCTTGTTTTGGTGTTTCAGCTTGAAAATAACCTCAAACATACACCAAAACATCTCAAAGACTTGTTGTGGGCCAACATAATTTTTAGATCTATACCCTATAGAAAAATCGTTACAGTATCATAGATAACAAAATGAAAAGAGTTCCTCAAAAGTTCAGAATTCAAGGAATAGTATACCCAAGGATCAAATTGAGCATTTCATTGTTATTAGCAACATCTGCTTATTTTTAAGAAAAAATAAAAAAATTGCTTTAGTTTTGACCAAGCAAAAATTTCATCAATTTTTTTTCCGTAGAATATTTTTTCTTTCAAAATAAATTTTGCATTTATACTTTTTGTTTTTTTTAATGAAAAAAATACCTATTTATTTCTTAAAAAAAAAATTGCCATTGTTATATCGCAAAATTAACGATCAGTCCTCGAACTTTTTGTTATATTATAGGTCATAATAATAATTCAGATAGATGTACATTTATATCATACCTCATATATTTTTCGACAAACCCAACCCCGACCAATACTTATATTAATTATGTATATTTCGTATAACTTCTTAGGATTTCCGCCTATGTGATAAATTTCAATAAAACTCTTCCCTATTTATTTTGTTAATTTACATTTTGTTTTCTCTTTATTATATTTTTTATTTATTTAATTATCTGTTTCTTCCTTTTTTTATATTTTTATGTTTGTTCCTACCTCCCCCCAAACACCTATACAATACAAATTCCGTGTGAAACAACCTCTTGCACCACTTAGATTTACCCCTTAAACCACAAGTATTACCACGTTCGTTACTAACATCATCTTCATCGTCGGCCATAAATAAACTCAATCGAAATTCATCGTCCTCTGTTACAAGCACTTCTACAACAACAACTACAACAGGATCATCGTCATCATCATCGATTATAACATCATCGATGTCAACTTCGGCAAGTGAAGTTACATCGAAAATTGTCACAACCAGTGCATTTAATAGCGAAATCAAAGAGATGTTGAGTAAAAGTTTAATAAGTGAAAATGGAACAAATGAAATATTGAATATACGAAACAGCCGTACCGCAACATCTACATCGTCGAATGTGCAAGATGACAAAAATGACCCTGGTGCCGTGGGGTCAACAATAAATGTTGGATATAAACGTATTGCTGGCAAAGAAATATCATCACTTTTTGAGGTTTGATACATTCCAATGCCTCGTCGCATTTATCAATACACTGAAAACATTCATGGCTGAACTCATTCTCGGGCAAAAAAAAAAAAAAAAAGCTTTTGAGTGTGTGTGCGTTTCTTAGCACCATTGCTTTTTTTAATATGCTTCATAAGAATTCATTATAATTGCTTTATTCTAATGCGCACTCCCACACCTTCCTGTGATGTCCTGATCATAATGTGCTGTTATATATATTTTGTGTGTGTGTGTGTTTTTTACAAAACTAGGTAAATTGCCAATGTCCCGATAAGACATATTTTTTGGTGTGCAGCCTTTCATAACATTTTTAAACCAACTAATGAACGCATTTCTTAAAAATGGTGCCGGTTAATCGGTATTGATAGTCTATGATTATCGAAAATTCCGAAAATATTGCAACTGTACTAAAATATCTAACTATTTAAAATCCTAAAAGCGATTTGTTGTAAAAATTTTAGAACCTGCCTATAATGTGTAAGAATATTTTTTCCACTAAAAATTTGAACAATGTTCGTATTGGATTTTTGCTTTCGTATACATACGCATTGTCCCGAATTGATGCCCTTCCTCTCGCCCTAACATTAAATGTTTTAATTTTATTTAAGTGTGTTTTTTTACTTTTAATATTGTCATGATGTGTTATTAATATTGTTTTTATTTTAATCATCCCCAAAAAAATACAAAACAGATATTTTCTTGCGTAGTTTTGTAAGCATAAAAAATATATAGCAATTAATGCTTTGTCTTCCTCTTCGTTTTTTTGTTGTTTAAACATTTATTGTATTATGATTATTATACATATATGTTATTATGTACTGTTGATTGTTTATTTTGTGATTTATCATATTTTTGTGTGTATGTTTTCTTGTCGTATTTTTATACTCTTTTTTTTACAATTAACCAACTATCACAGCAAAGAAATTGCATGTTCATCACTATGTCATATTAAATGTTGGTAATATACAATATTAATATTACACAATACATATATATTTATAAAATGTGTGTTTTACATTAAAATCTATTCTATTTTAGGAGACATTAGTTGAAGGACTACAACGATCCTCCTCTATACGGCAAACTTTTAGGGATACTCAATATACCAAAGAGGATGTCGTTGATTTATAAGCAAAATAATTAATAAAAAAATTAATATTAAAAAAGGTTTATATTTAGCATTTAAGTAATAAGCAAACAACTTCAAAAGATTAACATTAGCATTTTTGAAAACAAACAAACAACAACACAAAAAACAAGTAAACAAAAACCCCATCCACTGTCTTCTAAAATATTTTGTTTTGTTCTCATATTTTTTTATAATTATTTTGTATGGATCAAAATTTTGTGCAATCTAAAGTTTTTGTTTTTATTATTTTTTTTACATGGCGTCTTAATAATTAGTTTATTAAGTGAACAATAAGAATGAATAAATAAATGAAGTATTCCATTTGTAATATATTTTATATTTTTAACTTATTTATATAAAGCAAACAAATAATATAATATATTTTAAAGAATGTACCATCATCTTAAAGCATTAAGTATAACCAATCAAAGCAACAACAACAACACAATGTAAAAGTTAAATATTAAACTTATTTTTTATACTATAATTTTGTCTTTTAAAATAAAATCCAATTAAATAACTACCCCCAAATCCAATTTAACTCTAAAACCAATACCAACGTCATATTTTTCTATATATTAAAAATATATTTCTGTAAATTATTTAAGCCTTTTTTATTATATATTATTTAAGTTAACCATTATATAATAACATTCAAGAGAGAAACAATAAACAAATACATACATAAATAAATCTGAATAATTGAAAATTCAACGAGAAGTGTATTAATTTAATATGAGGAAGCATACAATCGAGGTAATTTGGGTATATTCAAAGAAATGCCTACTCCATTATAAATTTAAATTTATGTTCAATAGTAGTATTGTTAAAATCTGAAATCAGCAACTCTGCAGCTGCTCTCTACGATTCTCTTGAATTTCTCCCCCTGTCACTTTTTATACCTCTCACTTCAACTCAGCAGAGTTGCTTACAAAAGTTGCATTTATAAACCCAGACTTACTAAGTTTGAAAAATTGCTTCAGATTACAAAAATTATTCGATATAAGAAATTTGGCTATAATTCGACTTTTGAAGCTTCGTTTTAGTGGTTTTGACGCCTGTCTTTCAATTTCGGAACCCGCGATCGATTAGTTTTTCAAGTCTCGCCCGCTGTAGCTGCAGAAGAACAGTAGCTACCCCGGCAAACCAGAGTGGCCTTGGAACAATTAAAAACTGAATGGTGCATCCGCCTCAATTCTTATTGGGCGCGAATTGACAGCGCGGTCTATATCTGCCCGGCATATGGTAATGGTCCACATGACACGCTACACTTTTTCAATTGTCCAGCCAAACCCACTCATCTATACCAATGTTCACTGTGGACACATCCAATAGAGGTCGCAGCCGTCTTGAACTTGGAGTTAGAAGCAGAACAGATTAAGGAGAAATACACAGCGGTACAAGCTGCTTCGACACCAACAACTAGAACGACAAGAATGGGACTTTTCAAAAAAGGAAATTTGGCCAACAATACTTTTGAAAATGTCGCATTTTCAGTCAATTTCTATACAATACTAACATCATATTTTAAGAGCTTTCATGGTACAATTATAAAAGGTAACAGCAAATCCCAGCTGATTTGATTCCAAAGTAATACTAGTGTCAATATGAATTTGACAAATTATGTTTTTAAAAATCACCCAACAGGAAAATTTGGAACGCATACAATTTGAAATTGTTCTTTATTAATGTGCTCCCGTATTCAATTTACTCAATCTGCCTGCTGGGAAAGTTTGAGGAAGCAAATCTTTCTTGAAGGAATTACTCGCTATTCCCAGCATTGTCATATGTGTTACACATATATATGGCAATGGCTCAATTAAAGGAAAGATGTGGAAGCGATAAAAATATAAATTTGATAGATTTTCATTCATGTTTTTCAATTTTTATTTTGAGGATTCGAAAATATTCCATTTTCAAAATAAAAATAATTTGATGATAATTTGTTTGTTTGTTTACATTTTTCTGTCAAATGAGTTGACACTAGTAGAACTTACAACAACAAATTTCCATGTGGTTGTTGTATCGTTTTTTGTACAACAACGCTTGCTGTTACCTTTTATTATTATACCATGAGAGCTTTAAACATTTTACTGTACAGTGGGTAATTGTAAATAGTGGGTAGAGTTTAAATAATTCATGTAATTAAAATAAATGTCTTGTTTTGTTTATAAAAAAGGATGTCTCACAACAGAATTTAGGTAATTAAAATTGCAAAATGTAATTCCGAACTTAGAAATAAATAAATTGATAAGCACATTTCTTCAGTCAATCAATGTTTTAATCATGTTTTAAAATCGTCGGGATCATGAATATCCGCAAGTAATTTAGTTTCACAGGAAAACAATTTTCTCGAGGAACAAGTCCTTGAAAATTGATACTCCTTAGTTATTTTTCTTTGCGACTTTAGATAATGTATTTATTTTTTAGAACTTTATTGAAATTCCGTATTCATATTTCACTAAAACGGCATTTGCATTACAACCTTTTTCCGAGTTAAGATAATATTTGACATATTAAAAATTAAATATTAAGAATGATGATTTATCATAAAAGACGTTCGGTGTAAATGCGCCCTTAAACGGCATATACATTATAAAACGGCATATACATTAGAACTTTTTACCGGGTTAACCTACTTTATGACGATTTATTTGACATATATGCAAAGGAATTGACAATTGAAACCCAGTGGATTAACTAAATCTGGTTAAATGTAAACGTACTATAACTTTTTACCGAGTTAACCTACATTATGTGGATTTATTTGACATATATGCAAAGGAATTGACAATTGAAACCCACTGGGTTAACGAAATCCGATTAAATGTAAACGTACTATTAGGATACATACATTAGTCATTTAGTTCATATATACAAAAGCAAATGACAAAATAAATCAAATGTAAATATGACATTCATTAAAATTTCTATGAATGGGAGTGATTTATACGATGTAAAATCAAAGGCATTGAGAATATAAATTACATGATTTATTAAATCAGAAATGGAACATATGGATTCAATTCCGTTCCAATTTTTATTTATGTTGACATCACTACCGGCTGTCACAATGTTATCAATCATTAGTACTCTGTCATTTAGTTAGCCGTAAGAGGAAGAAGAAGAGTACGACAAACGCTGTTATTTTCCAGCAAAACAGCATTTTCCTTATTTCTATTTATTAAAAGTTTAATAAAAAAATGGTGAAATTAACGCCGGAATTAATAAACCAGTCCATGCAATTCATCAACCCCTGCCGGGAACGTGAACTGGATTTACGTGGCTACAAAATACCACAAATAGAAAACTTGGGCGCAACGCTGGACCAATTCGACACCATAGACTTATCCGACAACGATCTCAGGAAATTGGACGGACTGCCTTATCTATCACGTCTGAAATGTTTACTTCTCAATAACAATCGTATCCTTCGAATCGGTGAAGATTTACATGAATGTGTGCCTAACCTAAATTCGGTGATATTGAGTGGCAACAACTTGCAAGAATTGGGCGACTTGGAACCACTAACGCAGCTCCAACATTTGGAAACAATTTGTCTTCTTATGAATCCCGTGTCCACAAAACCCTACTATAGAGAATATATGGCGTACAAATTTCCACATTTAAGACTTTTGGATTTTAGAAAAATCAAACAGAAGGATCGCAAGGCAGCCATTGAATTCTTCCGTTCGAAACAGGGTAAGGAGCTGTTGAAAGAAGTGGCGAAAAAATCGAAACAAAGCGCAGCTGCTGCTGCCTTGGCCGATGGTTCTGCTGCCAAGGCTGGTGGTGGACGTTTTGCCAATCCAGAAGATATTCGCCGCATACGAGAAGCAATCAAACGTGCCAGCTCTCTGGCAGAAGTTGAGCGACTATCACAGATTCTACAAAGTGGCCAAATTCCCGATAATTTTGTTCTGGAACAAAACGGATCAACGACCAACGGAACAAGTAGCGGCGGTGGTTCAGATGCAGCCATGGAACATTAGCGATATATTTTATTTTCTACTGTAACAATATTGTTTCCCTCTTAAGTTTTAATTATAATTTCTATTCAAATACAAGTAGAAACGTGTAAAGAAAAAAAACTAATTTTGTGGTTATTTTTTATTGTTTGTTAAATAATCGGTAAGCTTTATTCTTTTTCATAGAAAAAAGTTAATTTTCAAATTATTTCAACAACAGAAATTATGTATTTATTACACAAAAGGAATTATTAAATAATACAATGGCAGGGCTTTTGAAGGAAAAACTTGGCTAAGCACCATGCATTCTAAAATCAAGATTTCATTAATATATAGACAGAGAAATATTAAAAGTTTACATTTATCTATAACATATTGCTTTCGAGCATACACACAAAAGGATGATCAATAACATCATGAATCGTGAATCGAATATGTTTGGCTTTATACTTTTATAAATGAATAACTAAACAATTTAATTAACTACTAATTTGCGTCTAAAGATCAGATATTCAGATATCTCAAAGTCCTTTTGCTTCCATTATAGTGTCGTAGTGTAAGCCGGTATAGAAAATAATCCACGTTACCAAAAAGCCCGCAAATGATGTCATAAAGCCCTCCTTTATCAATTCCCAAGCACCACCATAAGCCTCTTCGTCGATTGATTGGAAATTAATGGCATAAACATAAACTAGGCCACAGCTAATACCAGCGAATCTAAAAAAATAAAATTAGACATTAAATTAAAAGAATATCAAAAATATTTATTATTCAATACTTACAAAACAAGTCCCAAAAATCCTTTCAATGGAACAATACCCCATACGATACCCAAAATAATGCCAAGTACTTGACGGGACCAATAGATAACATCTAGGAATTCATCCTGAAAAATATAAAATAAAAATCATTATTACCGAAAGTTTTTTTCTTTTCCATGCCATTTAAAAATTTCGTCGTAAGAAGTGTTTGCACTCGACGTGAAACATTTCGCAGAGGATGTTCTCAATGACTCGATTAAAATTCATATTTTAAATAGGCATTTAGTAAAGAATTTTTGTTCGCGTAGCCGAATTTTTCACCAGTCCATGGAAATAGTATTACATAGCCGACCGAATGATTTATATTTAGATCAACAAAATGTTTATTCATATAAAATCCGGATGGTGAGTATAATACTCGCATCAAAGTTTCTACTAAAATTAACATCGACCTAATTTAAAAGTTAATTAAACGCTTGACTCGGTAAATTAATTCACATACGGACCCGCATTCCCCTCCTCCACTTCTTCCTCTTGCTACATTCTGCAGCCCTTCCATTCACCACATACCTTATCTAGCCACTCTGATTTTGCTGTCAATGCACGATTGCAAATCTCTTTCAGAGATGAAGATTTGGCACTGCCACTCGAATTGTGTTGTATTGTATTTGTTCTTGTGGCCATTTTAATTCAATACTTTAACTTATAAACTTAAAAAGAAAAGAAAATTAAATCGATGTTAAATGCAATTTCACGGCACAGGAATAGAAAAAAAAGCGCAGCACCGACGACGTCGACGTGTTGAAACGTGATTGATGCCTGCCAAAATAAAAACGTTCCACTAATTCCAAATGAGGGAGAAATAAAAATAACCGATAAAGAAGAAACTCAAAGCGTTTTTATATTTGTCGGGATCGGGATCGGTGTTGAGAGTTTCTCTCTCTCACAGTGGTAAATTGTGAATTGTGTTGGAAAACCTTACCACAGGTAGGAACAAAAAAGTACGAAAAGGTACCTAAAATTCTACTTCAAATGATAATGAATCATAATTATCGAGAAATATTGGCCAATATTTATACCAGTTATTTGCATAAATAACATATGTTATAATTTAAGCGTAAATGTATTCACGAATAATAAAAAAATCAAATTTTTGTTTTGGTACGTTTATGTCAATTCGTACCTTTTGTGAACAAAAAGTACGCTTGTTACAAAATTAAAAATAGCGCAACTCTAATTACTCTCTCAAGAGAGAGAAACTCTCAACACCGATCCCAATCCCGACAAATATAAAACCACGCAAAGCGAAAATTTACGAAAGAGGTGTGATGGGCACCGTTTAAGAAGCGAAAGAGGAATGGAAGAATTACCGATTAGGGTCGATAACAAATGTTTTCGAGCCACTTGAGAGGGCAAATTTGCTACATTTATAGCTGTCAAAAATGTTGAAATCAGCATTTTAAAAACAGAATTAAAAATATAGAAATTTCTGAATATCGAATCGATTTGTGATCTGTTCATACAACACTATTCATGTCGTAAAAGTTTACTTTTAAACGGCATTTACATTAGAACTTTTTTAACGGATTAACCTACTCTATGAGGATTTATTTGGCATGTATACAATGGAATTGACAATTGAAACCCACTGGGTTAATGAAATCCTGTACAATGTAAACGTACTATAACATTAGAACTTTCTACGGGGTTAACTTATGTAGATTTATTTGACGTATATACAAGGGAATTGACAATTATAACCCACGGGGTTAAAAAATCCGGTACAATGTAAACGTACTATTAAACATTTTTTGCTTTATACAAAAAAATTACTTTGAATGGCGTGCGCCACCTATTGTTTTATTTTCAAAAACAAATTCCCTTTCTCCTGAAAAGAGGACTAATTGCTTTTCATTCATGTTTTTCTAAAAATCATTCTTGCTGTGTCTGAAGCAGACATTATTGGTCCGTTCCAGAACCTTTGGCAATAATAAGGTCATCTGATAAGGCCAGATCTGTCTGATCTGTCAAAATGCTTTCAATTTTGACTTAATCGTGTTAAAACGTAAACAAAAAATTTGACAGATTCGGGGATTTTACAGCCTTACCTAAAATTCAACTAGCTCGTTCGACGTTTTTCACCACAAATGTAGAACACATGTATTTATATGAATGTTACCGAAATACGTCGACGTACAAATTTTCAAAATTGAAAAATTCAACTATAACAGAACGTAGTTTTGTTTTTTTCTTTTGTTGAAAAAAGAAACATAACATATGGAAATAACATTTGTTCAATAAGAATATGAAATATTTGAACACATTTTAATATTTCTTAATTTTATTTCGCGATTTTGATTAGTTCGCTAAGAGAAATGGATTCGACGTATTTGGGTAATACAGCCGTACAAAACATTTTGCCATAGTGGGGAAGTTGAATTTTTTGTACGCTTCGTTGAATTTTAGGTAACGTTGTTAATCCAAAATTGTCGATATCGATTGCTTCTAAGAAGTGTACACACTATAATTTTTTTATGGCACTCTTGTCCAAATTTTGCTAGTTTCATAGTGTGGCCTCTCATGTTTGTCAGTCATCAGGCAACCACAAAAATATTCATGGTTGCTGGACAGTCAGCAATCGATAAAAATGCACCGCTTTACATGACCTGTTTATTGGGTCATGACTCATGAGTAGACTCTTGCAGTACGGGAACAAACCACGTATACACAGGTTTGACGCCGTTGAAATTTTATTCCATCGTCTTTGAACTTGATGGTGAATTTGACAACGTATAACAAGGGGAATCACCGAAGAATCTTCGGCGAAGATTCATGTACATTACTAATATAAAAGTGGGAAGACGCTTGTCGAGCAGCCATATTCGTTTTAGATTTCAAAGGAAAATTAATTAAGTTGAATTTTTTGTACGCTTCGTTGAATTTTAGGTAACGTTGTTAATCCAAAATTGTCGATATCGATTGCTTCTAAGAAGTGTACACACTATATTTTTTTTATGGCACTCTTGTCCAAATTTTGCTAGTTTCATAGTGTGGCCTCTCATGTTTGTCAGTCATCAGGCAACCACAAAAATATTCATGGTTGCTGGACAGTCAGCAATCGATAAAAATGCACCGCTTTACATGACCTGTTTATTGGGTCATGACTCATGAGTAGACTCTTGCAGTACGGGAACAAACCACGTATACACAGGTTTGACGCCGTTGAAATTTTATTCCATTGTCTTTGAACTTGATGGTGAATTTCACAACGTATAACAAGGGGAATCACCGAAGAATCTTCGGCGAAGATTCATGTACATTACTAATATAAAAGTGGGAAGACGCTTGTCGAGCAGCCATATTCGTTTTAGATTTCAAAGGAAAATTACTGGAATTCGTTTTAGTTTTGCAATGGAGGCAATTCGACAATTGGATAGAAAGCTTAAAGGTCTCTGTTCGGAATACGAGAATGCAGTTCACGATTTGTGCGAAGTGTTTTCAAGGGATCCAAATTGTCCTGAGATTAAGCTGAAACAACTGTTTTTGAGGAATCAGTCGTCCGATATAGATGCTTTTTTGATAGAGGTGCATCGAAAAAAATCAGAAACACAAGTTCGACTCGTTGAGGCAAACCCGATCAATTGTGGAAATGGTGAATACCGAAAACTTGTCGAAATGACTCGTCACTATGAAAATTTCACTGAATATGCTGATAAGTATACAGAAGATATAATGCATAAGATATCTTTGAAATACTTCAATACAGTAGCGTTTGTCGGTATCAGACAAATGATGTTCTGTAATTTAAATAGTTTTTGAATTGATCCCGATGGTGCTTTGTTCTCAATAATTTTTTTTCTTGTGTGTTGTTTTTTTTTAAGATGTTACTTGTGAATTTATTTTTTCTTTTGTTTTTTGTAAGAATAAATGCATTGAAATAAATACTATTAATTTAAAAGAAAAGGAGTCTTTGGATTTAAGCTTTGGTTTCGATATTTCAGGCCAGAATTGGCTTAACTCTAGTAAAAACGATCAGATTTTTCTGAATTTTTTTCCACATTTAGGTATATATGACTGTATATTTTGTGGATCCGGGTCAAATAACTGGGTACTTCCCCCAAGAAAAAAAATATACACCTAAGTCTGTTTTTACACGGTCTTTTTGTACACAGTTTTGATATAACACGGTTTGAAAATTGAATATTTTTAATTTTTTTACACGATTTTATTCCATTTAGCACGATTTGAAATTTTATGTACTTAAATTTTGTTGTCAAATTTAATTTTTGCGAAGTATGTTCATATCACAAAAAAGTATTTATGAAGGAAAAAAGTCTGAAAACATCGATAGTGTCGATAGTTTGCGAACACTAGCTTAAAGATTTTAGTGAATTCCCCTTTAGCGCGTACAAAAAATTTTTACTGGTCAAATCAAATGTGAATAGCACTTATTTAGGGGAATTCTCTTTTTTACACGACATCTTCTGGAACCATTCTACCGTGTAAAAACAGACTTAGGTATATCCCCATAATTAGGGTAAAAATACCTACCTCTGGAAAAAAATCAGAAAAATCTGGTCGTTTTTATTAAACTAGAGTTTTTCCCTAGAATGAAATGTATGAAGGGAAAAAATATAAGTTGTATTATTTTTATGACAGCTTGAAACGATTGAAATATTGTCGCGTACGATAATAATATTTTTTTATGGCGAATACATTTCCAGGCCTTGAAGTTTTAATACATATTTTTCATACAAAACATTAGTCTTATAGCGAACTTTTTTATAAAGAAATATTCGGGTTCATATTTGAGTTTTCATTTCTTTTAATTTGGTTACTGGTAAATTTTTTACTGGAAAAGTAAAGGAACACACCTAATGTTGCATTTCGTAATCGCTAGTGTTGGACCAAGACGTTCACTTAACGGAACGATCTTTATCCTCCCTCGTTTATGTTCAAACTTTCCATTAGTTCTATCGTCCTTTAGTTCAATACTCCATTCTGCTCATTTTTCGAAACTTTACATGTCTGCAAGAAATTACTATCACGCAAGTGAAAAAAAAATAAATGTATAGAGAAGTAGTTTCGGAAAATAGTCGCCATATTCAATAGTCACCCATACGTATAAAACAAATCGAAATGAACTAGTTGAACTAACAGCACTAGATAGAGGAATGAGCTGGAAATCGTTCCGAACGTTCATTTCACAGAGTCGTCCGTTTGAACCTGTTAGCTCAGTTTTTCCTCTGCTAGCTAATCAGCCAAAGATTTTTTTACCAAGTAATTAAGAGTGAAAAATATAATTTGTCGTGTTTATTGTCGTTATAAAATAGAAATTGTGCAATATTGTGATTACTGTAACCGAACTGCCTCTATAATAGATTGGTGCGATTCGTCGAGACGTTGGTTTGTTACGCTTTTTCGCCCTCGTTCAAAGTGTCATCGTTGTTGCCTTCTTCTGTCTGGGGAGAGTAGTGAGTAATGGCAGAATCAATAGTCCAAGATTGGCTTTCGGATTTTCAACGTATACAGGGTCAACCTGATGAGATCAAAGAGTTCGCCGCCGAGCATGACACAGACTCGGAAATCGCAGAGGTTATATTCACCATACTCAATGAACGTCAACGACACGAGTCACTGGTCCACGATATATGCCAACAGTTGTTGGCCTTCTATCGCAGCACGGAAAAGACATTGCAAAAGTTCCCCCTTCAATTTATACCTGTTCTAATCTATACGTACCTGCGTGCCGTAGCCGGTGGAGATAAGAAGGGCGTACGTAGCCTGGAAACCCTGCTCATATGCATTTACAATGGAGAAGTGTCCACAGACGATGGCAGTCCCAGAATAGTACAATTTCGTATGCCGATTTTGGCCCAGGCCTCTGTATATCATGAAGAGAAGAATTTGCCAATGACCGATTTGAGACGATGGGAGGAGAATTGTAATCGAGAGGTGAAATGGGGTCCACATCCAAGAATTGAAGCAATAACAGCTCAGAATCGTCTGAGAACAATGACGGCATTATTATTTTGCTATAATCAACAAGTTAGTCTAACGCAAAAATCGGCATTGATTTATTTGTGTCGGGTAGCGTCCCAATTGGTCACCGAGGGTTTTACGGCGAAAATGACACATGCTCATAGGATCTCATATGGGTAAGACAATCAATTGGAATTGTATTGAAGGTGTAAAATGAAATCATTTATAAGGGTTGTTTGATCACGTGTTGATTTCAATGCTAATTAGGTTTATGACCTTTTTAAAAATCACAGAGAAGAGTAGCCTCGTATAGTTGGCATAAACTAGGCGTAATAAATGATAGCAATAGAATCAATTTATTTGTAAAATATTGGAAAAATATGATGCATATTTTATTCTATATTCGATTTAAACATTTGTATTCATGGGCTTGTTACAAACGTAATAATCATGAAGTGACGTATTTTAACAGTTTACTTGTATGAATATGGATCCGCATATAAATGTGATCACCATGATGTTGTTAATAAATGTCTAATGTTTATTCCGTGTATATATTTCACAGCAATTTGCTAAACATGCAATATTAAGCGCCTGCAATGTTTGTAATATTGTGGGAGTGATAGTATTTAAAACATGCGAGATCCTTTTTATATCTGTTTTTACATCCGATTTTATATAAATAGATCCCCAAGTACTCTACGTAATAAATACAGTATATGTATTCAGAATAGAGCATCCTGTAATTAGTTGTTGTCGTAGCAGCACTATTGCTTATACATTAGGTTCGTTCGTTTACGAATTTGCAGACAGTAAATACAAATTATAGAAACGCAGAAAAGAAATCGGTTCTTCTGTATACCTACAATTTTAAACTTTTTAATGTAAATGATCCAATGTAAATTTGTGGGTGTATTGGATTCTTCATAATTGAAAATAGTTTCAGAAGATGTACCATAGGAATAGCAACCTCAGCTCCTCATGTTATTTGCGTAAATCTATCAAGAAATTGATGATTACATTCACATTCATATAATTTTGTGAGGAAAATTGTTCGAATTGCTTCATATCTTTAGAAGCAGGTTACACTTTTCTAAATATTATTATCGTATATTTTGTTTGTTTTTTATGTTGTCTACCTTATGAAGGTACGAAATAAATGGAGATTATCTTCTAACTTGATAATTATGCTGTGAAGTATTTTTTCCAAATCAGATTCCCGCCTCTAGGCTAATTACATTCTTCTTACATAAAATGATCTACTAGCGTTGTAATAAAGGTACAATCCCACGTAAAAATAACATGAAAGCAATAATTTTGATGCATAATCATTCGATATTTGGCAGTTGAATAGGCACAATGTTCTTAACATTGTGCCTAATCAATAAATTAAAATAATAATATGAAATTTTGCAATATTATCACTAATTGTATTCCTAAGAAAATATTGACCCATAAGTAAATAATTTAAATTCATAGAAGTTATAATTAAACTTAAAATCTCAATTAAAAAGATAGTTATATGTCTGACTAACAACGCATTTATATGCATCATGGCTTAATTAATATTCGTAATATATAAGTGATGACGACAAATATGCTTTGATTTCTTATGCGATTTTCTTCATTTGTGTGTTTGTCTTGTCTTCATTGTCTAAAATACATACATCTTTTGCTTTTACCAGTATATTTAAATACCATTGTACTCTAATAATTAAAAATATCAACTTCTATGAATGCACCTGTAGCTGACGTTAAAATATGATTAGAAACAACAACAGCTGTGATACAAAATACAAATACCCAATTTCAATTAAAGCAAACAACTCTTATAAAATTACTATTGCTTAGTAAATGTTTATCAATTTGAATTAAAATTTTAATTTTTTATTACTTAAGAAAATAATTGTGTCACAAATGTATATATCTCTCTTTTTCTCATTTTAAGCTCTGATCCATCACTAATGCCCAAATCAATGATTCCACGCATTCCGTTATCCTCTGCATTCCTTGTGGAATTAGTGCATGCCATTTATTTTGCCATGTTCAATGGTTTTGGTACAGTTGCCATTCAGACGCTGGAAGATATCCATAATCGGGCATGTTTCGAAATGTATACGGAATTGATATTAATTACGAGCGCTATACGCAATTCTCTACATGCCAATCCTTCGGGCCAGCCCAGTGATGGACCTATGGGCCTTAGTGTAGCTTTAACACCATCCACCAATACCGTAACCACCGCTGTATCAAAATCAATGATTACAAATGCTTCATTCCGTACGAAAAAGCTACCCGACGATATACCAATCCAGGTGCAAGATCTAACAATGCCACAGGCACCTCAACAATTGGCTAGTGTCACAGAAGAAACTGCCGAACAGACGCAAAATGCTAAAGAATCGTCGAGTCAACAGGGCTCGCGGAATTCAATAATACGTCCCAGTATGGAGGGTATTAAGGCCCAGGCTCACAAAGCTTTAATTGCTGGCTTCAAAAAGTCAAAAGACAAAGAAAAGGACAAGGATAAAGATAAGGACAAGGAAAAGGATATTACGAAATCATCAGCAGTTCATCAAACTAATGGCAGTGCAACGACAAATAGTGCAGACAATATCAAACCACCGCAACGAAAATTAGACAAACATATGCAGCGCAATTCGTTGCTGCAACTGCAAATGGAGGGTTCAACGACATTGGACTTTGAAAAGAGCCCTGGTCCAACGGTCAAGTCTAAAAATTATGATTCCATAGACACCATGGAAATGTTGCCGATGCAAACATTGATGGCCAATGAAAGTGGCAGCAATAGTTTTAGCATTGACAGTGATTTGAATGGTGGCACTGCTGTCGGCGTAATGTCTGGTGGTAGTGGTATGGGTGGTATTGGCGGCATCAATGTCAGCGGTACAGGAGGATTAGGCAATAACAGTAATAACAATAGTACAACCACCACCACAAGCAGTGACCTGTTAACGACAAAAAGTTTCGATTCCAGTATTGAAATGCCGGCAATTGGCAATGCGACGTCCATCGTAGGGGGTGTTAAAACGGCGAGTGATACACACATGGATTAGTGATTTTCTAAGGCTTCCAGTAGCCGGGCCTGGCTACTTATTTTTATTATTATTATTGCAATCAACAAAGAAAGCCCCCAAGCGATAAACCACAATAATATCGAAACGTGTTATAAGATGAGGCATCATTGGTGCGTGCTGCTTTAGTTAAAAAATTAAGCAAAGCAAAACAATAATACACAAAAATAGTAATCATCAAATGGTTGAATGTTAGAGCTTTGAAGTGGAGCAGTGTATAAATCTATTTTTGAATTACCAAAAACGTAAAACGTAGCCAATGAGAAAAAAGAAAAATTTAAAAATGTCTTAATTCTACATCATGGGATGTAATTAAGGGCAGGCATATTTAAGAACCTTTCTTTTCTTAACGTCTCATTGGTTGATCGATTTTTTGTTTTTCATAGCTAGTTTTGTTATTGTGCCAATGAATGAACGAATCACATTATTCTGCATTTGTTTTACTAAAAAATTCGTTGTAGTAACCATTTTTGAATTTGACTATTGTTAGAAAAAGCACAGCTCCACAGTGTTTATTCCATCACACCACCTATTATGTATTTGGTATATTGTATAATGCTTATATTACTATATTTAAACCGTTGTTATGTATTTTCTTTTTTTTTCATTTTCCTTTACTATTTTCTTCATAGAATTGTTATTTAGGTGTAAATTTATTATTTTTCCTAGGCTTCCCATAACACGAAATCCCTTTTTTTGAGTATTAAGGAATTTAAAAAGTAATAATGAGTAATCAACTGTTGTTTTTCTCTATTTTGTAACAATTTTGAAAAGAACAATTAGATGCAACAGTTTCTTAAAAGATGTGAAAAAAATTGAATGCTCATTTTACCTCTTAAACGGTTAAACTGGTACTATATATACATATATTTCCCTAAATTTCATTCTTCATCTACCGTCTTCTTAATATTAAGTAGAAATTTTCAAGTACATAAATGAAAAAACGTTTAATAATATCATTGTAATATTTTTTTATTGTTTGTTTGTTTGTTTTTATTGTTCTTATTCGTAAAACAACAAATAACAAATATTTATGTAATTTTTAACTTATAACAAATTCGTTATTAATGTATACATATATATATTTAAATGGAATTAATGATCATAAAATAAAAAAGTATTCACATAAACACTGATACAATAAAATTTCAAGTTGTATTTGTTTCTAAAGAAACTATTGATGAACAAAAATTGTATGCCAGATCTCAAACACCTTATCCAATTGTAGCCGACACTTTGTTTATAATTTGGCAAGATTACTAAGAGGTTGCGTATAATACACTTTCACAAAATGTTGGGCAAATTAATAATAAATAAATGTTATTAAAATTAGATTTTCGTAAAATGTTTTTTTTATATATGTTTGTAAAGATTACAATAAATTATCCCTTAAGGAAACATTAAAAAATAAAAAAAAAAACATCATTTTAAGATACATAATCCTAAATTATTTTCAGTGTTTGAGATAGTTACGCAAATTTTAAAAGAATGTTTTATTAACTGGTACCCAATGATAGTCGGAGTACAATTCTCGTAATATACCGACTAAACATAACAACGGATATATTACAGAACATTATTCTATTTATTTAGGGACACCATTATATGAAACAGGCATGCAGTTTTTTGTAAAATAAAAAAGCAAATTTGCCCGGTGAATTTTTAGAAAATAAATTAATTTGGCCCAAGAATGAACACTGATGAAATTTGTGTGAGAACTGACCCGCATTAAGATATAGTTCACGTAAATAGTATGGTGCCAATGATGTATCCAAAACTACGCTTGTTTGATCGACACGAAATAATACGAATAATACAGTTTAAAAGAATGTATCTCAAAAAGTAGTTTAATCGCTTCAGAGTTAAATGTAACTTCCACATGTAATTTCAATACGAAATATTTCAAAGACTATCGAATTTAGCCTAGTTTTAAATCAATGAAGATATTATTATTTATCATGATAATAAGACACCACCCCACATATTGCCATGTGTTAAAGTATGAAATAGGGGACATGTACGAATTCGGCGCTTTCATTAAAATTATAAGGGAAGAGGGTCTTTTAGTATTGTTATTTGGGATCTCCTTTTTAAATCATATTTGATTTACACAAGATGTTGAAATATGTTTATCATATTGTAACTTTTTCTGTTTGGTGCTGATCGAACGTTATTTTACAGTGTATTTTTGAAAAAATAATGGAAGTCTACATGATTGAATTTTTAGGAAGTAGATCTAATATATTTCTGGTTGAAATAACACAATTTCAAACAGAATTCGCCCACATTTAAAATATATGATTGAAGCGTAGACACAATTTAAATTTAACTTCTATATGCGTACAATTTAAAATGTAAAAAAAATAATCTGACCATTCTGGATTATCCACAAAAACTATTTTATAAGGTACCTAATTCTCTTATGGGCATTTCTTTAATTCCTTTAATATTTCTCTGGAAAAAAATTAACAAAGGTATATAAGTAATAATTCCGAATACATTTGTTAAAAATGCTTTTCATTGTTGCGATTTTTTTTTAATTTGACAAGAACAAAAAATGTCTAAACAAACACATTCACAATACTTCATTTTTATATTATTGTGCCGAAATCATTTATTATTAAAACGAATATTAACAGATTTAATATCGTGAATATTTATGACTAATGTGTTTTTTCCGATTGTAAACAAATTATTCTCGATAACATTTAAATTAGAAAATCATTTTTTTATTTATCTATTTGCCCAAAAATAAAACGAAAGGATTACTTGAATATATAAATATTTATTATAAATTTACATTTGTGAATATGTATTACAATTGTTAATTAATTTTACTATAGCAAGTTATTGTAGTTATAGTATTATGTTTTCGAGCATTAACTAAATACAGAACAATTAACACAATAAAAGACAAGAAAAATATCTATATAAACGTGTGCATAATTCAAAACAATTATATATAATAACAAAAAATAACACATATATTATAAAAATAATACATATTCTGTAATTTAATGCCGACTAAATAAAAATAAATGAAAATCATAAATGTATTTATTGAAATGTTAATTACAATTACACCAAAATCATGTTACATATTATCAATTAAATTAAAAAATGAAAAAAATTTAATCTACTAAAAAGTAAACAATAAAGAGAGAAAACTATATATTCAAATAAAAATATCGAGTCCGTTTTATTAGCATTTTGTGGTTACACTATAATTTACGAAATTTACCCTGCAAAAAAATTCGGGGTACATCAATACCCTCCTTTATATTAAGTGTACGTCGATGGACGTACGAATTTATTATGATTTCAAAACCGTTCTCTTTAAACAATTTCGATAATTCCTCTTCGGCAAAGTAATAGCTCCGTGTACCGTCTTGACGCATATAGAAGTTATCCGATATTTTACGACCGGATTTAAAACGCAATTGTGCCATATCATAACGACCATAATCTCTAAATAGTACTATACCACCGGGTTTTAGTATTGTATGTAGATTTTTGATAACAATATCAAATTTGCACGGTGAAATGGCGGATAAAACAAATATCATGGAAATGATATCTATACTTTCAGCGGGAATATTATCATGAATTGTATTTGTTGTAATATCACACTGGAATGCCTTTATTCGATCTTCATTATACTTGGGATTCGAACGAACAAATTCAACAGCACGAGGTGAAAAGTCGCAGGCATAGAAATAGTTATTTGTCTGTCCCAACGATTCCAATTCTTCCATTAGAGGAAACACAAAATTGCCAACTCCACAGCCCACTTCCAAAAGTTTCCTAGTTTCATTTCCCTCGCCGGATGGAAGTGTGGGATAGTCATGAATTAATTCTTGGAATTCCCTTGTGGTCCATCGACGATCCTTGAAGAATCTAGTCTCGTTGCGTTTATAAAACAGATCCCAGTGCTTTTGAGCCTAACGAAATGGTATTAAAAGACATTTTGATTAAAACATGTGCACGGGAAACACACAGGAAATCTATGAGAATTACCTGGGCTTCCAATTGTCGTGCCTTAAACTCAGGTATTAAACGCTTGTTCTGTTCTTCCAATTTCTGTTTCTCGTCATCAGTAAGAGCCTTCTCTGCCGATGTAAATACATCATCTATAAATTGGCCGTCAATTCCTGAGCTCTCCTCCATTTCACCTTTATTCCACGACTGGTATGGTTCCATTCAACTGAAAGATTCACTGAAATGAACGCATGGCCAAAATGGAACAGTGTAAGCGGAAAAATCAACAAAAATGGAAATTCATATTGTTACGAATTAGAGAGAAAAACAAACGAAATGAAAATGCCTCATGTTTACGAATGGGAAGAGACAAACAATAACAACACGTTTTTATTAGGCATACGTAAGTCGATTTAAATGTAAATGTTTCTGTAGATCGAAAATGGCCATCTACATGGCCTGCAAATTCGCCGTATTACGAACTTCTATAATTTGAATCAAGGTATATTTAATAAGGTAGCCGCATCGGCCCAGCTGTTGGACAAATAAATGTCAAAAATGTTGTTGTAATGTTGAACCAAAAAATTAAAAAACAAAATTATGAATGAAAATCTCCGAATTTCGAAGAGCTTTATTGGCAATACTTTTATTAACATTTTCTACAAGAATTTGTGTAAAAAAATCTTGCCAATCTGTTTGTTTTCGCAAAATATTTTTGACATATCAAAATACAACAACCGATGTTTGTTGTAGAAATTCGCCGATGCGGCTACCTTGTATATCTACCTTGATTTGAATCAAGGCCTATATAAGGTCGGCCAGTAAGCACAGGTGAGTATAAAGTTTGCTGTCAAATCATATTTTGAAACCTATAAATACATACATACATAGTCTGCTTTTCCACAGGCAGATTTTTATTCGGCAAATTTTTTGTTTTCTCTTTTGAAATTTTCGCTTGCTTTTCCATTAGTCCGCTTTTTCACAGGCAGATTTTTATTTGGCAAATTTTTTGTTTTCTCTTTTGAAATTTTCGCTTGTTTTTCCATTAGCAAATTTTTCTTTGCCAAATTTGCGAATCAAAATACAAAAGAAAGAAAAAAAACGTCAAAATCGTTTGCATTTTAAAGATTTTTTATTTATTTTATTATGGAAATTGCAAAAAATAAAAATTAAATTTCACTTGCACAAATTAAAGCAACAGGTTTGTAAACAAAAGCCGGCTGTGTGTCAGTAAAGCGAATAGGTTCAAAAGGAAATGTCAAAAAACTTGTTTTCAGCGAACAGAGCAAAGCAAAATTTGCGTGTACGCAAATTCTGAACAGGCAAATTTTTGTTTTTCTTCCTCGCACCCCTCTCGCCTACAAACTCAGTATTTGCCAAATAAAAATTTGCCTGTGGAAAAGCAGACTTAGCAAATTTTTCTTTGCCAAATCTGCCTGTGGAAAAGCAGACTAAGTATTTTCTATGAATTCGCTTACTTCGCCGACCTTAAGTAGGCCATGATTTGAATTATCCTGAAAGGTTTATTCATAAGGTTAACTGGCAGGCGATTGCATGCTTATTCATAAGGTTAACTGGCAGGCGATTGCATGCTTAAGTCTTCTCTTGCTGGCAACATTTTTATCACAAAATACCAACTAGAACAAGTGCACTCTGCTTGGCTTTAACATGGCAAAGCCCTGTCGTATCTTGGTCCCTCTTTCATCTCAATTGTGGACACTGAGCTCCACCATAGGAATACTGATAGTTTCGTGAAATGAAAATATGGAGAACATACCAAACAGTGGACCTATAACGACAATTCTACCAATCGATTGTTGCAAACCATAATGTAGACCAAATACAAATTTCAGCAATTTTAATGGGGGTTTTTTCCTAAAAACTTAACAGTACGTTTACATTTAACCGAATTTCGTTACCCAGTGGGTTTCAATTGGCAATTCCTTTGCATATATACCAAATAAATCCTCACAAAGTAGGTTAACCCGAAAAAAATTCTAATGTATATGCCGTTTAAAACCCTATATTATGAATGCATAGCAGTGTGAAATATTTGTATAAAATCCTCAAAATACTGCAATTTAGAGGGCAAAGTTATATGAGGCATACTTAAAGCGGGACCAATATTGACAACATTGTGTAAGAATTAGCGAATATTTTGGCGTTTTTATAATATGAAGGCTTAATTAAGGACCGATATAGCTCAATTTCAAAGCTAATACTAATAATTATCATCACACTGTGGTACAGGGTATTTGTTATTTGTGCATATGTTTGTTACAGACAAAAGGAAACGAGATAGGCACATGTTTCCTGTTGAGAAAATGCATATAATTACTTTCTTAGTCCAGGTCGCATTTATGATCCAAATTGGATAAATTTGGCACAGCTCATTTATTTGGCCTTAGGCCAACCCCAATTGAAAATTGGTTCAGATTTATATAAAGCTCCCATATATAGCTTCGTCCGATTTTAGGTAAATAGTCCACCCAATACCCAAATTTAAGCCGATTGGTTTTATATAGGGTCTATGTCTAAATGAGGGCCGATATATTTATAATTTTTTTTATCTCGATATCCTCCAAAGGAAGAATGATTGCAACAGATGGATAAATCGACTAAATCGTCTTACAATTCCATACGATGTTGGGTATATATATGGGCTCTACCCCTAAAAAGGGGGCGAATATTTATAATTTTTGGTAGGGAGATTTGTTGCCATATACGAAACTGACAGCGAATTCTGTTGATGAACGCGCTTAAGAACCCCAAAATACCGAAAATTGGAGGGTACCCCTATATCGGGGCTACCCGAAAAAAAATTGACTTATATATAATTTTTTTGGGGAGAGATTTGGAAGCTGTTAGGAACTTAAAATACAAAACTACAGCCAAGTCGGTGGAAAAATTGGATCAAAACCCCGCAAAAACTGAAAATTGGGAGTTACCGTTATATGGGGTCTATAAGAAATAGTGGACCGTGATGATATACCCTCCATACTACGTTGGAGGTTATAAAAATGGGTTGAGGCTTCGGGTAGTTGCCCACACTCGGAAAAAAACAACTACATTCTTGGTCTGTTTCCGTACTGCAAGAATCTACTCGATTTTACTATTTTCTTCGATATCATAAAGGAACAAAGTGTTATCGGAGTAAAAAATAGTAGATTCTTGCAGTACGGGAACAGACCATCTATGAAAAAACAATAGATAATTTCTCTTAAAAAAGAGGAGGTGTAGGCACCATCACGCATTTATATCAATTTTAGAATGTTCTGGAATCCGTATTGTCAAATTACTATTCGGTTGGCAAGTGCACCTAGGGCTATGAAAATAACTTAAATTTGTAGGCTAAGTCTAAACATGGTCCTATATTGTAAACATGGTACAATTATAAAAGGTAACAGCAAATCCCAGCTGATTTGATTCCAACGTAATACTAGTGTCAATATAAATTTGACAAATTATGTTTTTAAAAATCACCCAACGGGAAAATTGGGAACGCATACAATTTGAAATTGTTCTTTATTAATGTGCTCCCGTATTCAATTTACTCAATCTGCCTGCTGGGAAAGTTTGAGGAAGCAAATCTTTCTTGAAGGAATTACTTGCTATTCCCAGCATTGTCATATGTGTTACACACATATATGGCAATGGCTCAATTAAAGGAAAGATGTGGAAGCGATAGAAATATAAATTTGATAGATTTTCATTCATGTTTTTCAATTTTTATTTTGAGGATTCGAAAATATTCCATTTTTCAAAATAAAAATAATTTGATGATAATTTGTTTGTTTGTTTACATTTTTCTGTCAAATGAGTTGACACTAGTAGAACTTACAACAACAATTTCCATGTGGTTGTTGTATCGTTTTTTGTACAACAACATTTGCTGTTACCTTTTATTATTATACCATGTATTGTAAACAAGGTTTTCGTCTACCAAGATGTGAAATATGTCAAGATCTAGTAGAAAGAAATCGGCGCTCAAAGGGGTTATACATTTTTGCTCCACATGCGATAGTAAACACCATAATACACATTTTTCCTGTTTGTTTTTCTTCTCTTTTGTAACACGCTGCGTATTTTTTCCAGAAAAATATTCGCCGCAAACTACATTGTTCGTTCGCCCATTAATGAACTAAAACTAGAATGAGTTTACTACCCTAGTTCTGTTGCTCGTTTTAGTGAATCGCTCATTCGTGAACCGCACAACACTAATCCGGAGGAAAACAAACTGTTGCATTTGCGGCATTTTTGGAGTTGTAACTACCAATCTGCAATTTTCAATTTTCGTGATAAAGTTGGATTTGCGACTTGCGCTTTACATTGTTAGCCAGCTAACTTCAGTGGTAAGTGGTAGCCAATATTGGGAGTCCATAGAGTCCATGTCATTCATTGCAAGTGTGAACGTACAAGTGAGAACATCGTGAAAGGGTCACGGCAGGACACTACGGCAGTAAAGGAAGGTATATGTAGAAGGAAGTGATTGTGCTAAAGCTTAAATAAAATCAAAACAAGGAACCCAAGTGTAAACCAATATTCATTCGATTGTAAAAAATTAAATAACCACAAAACGCAAAAAGTAAATATTTCAATAAAATTGCAATTGGATATTAAAAAAAATAAAAATAGCAAAATATAATTTCAAATTAAAAACAAAACTTGCAATTAGAACATAGTACGTCCGGTTGATTATTGATTATTCTTCGCCTTTATTGTTATCTGTGCATTTTAGGGCATTTAACTTGCCATGGAGGAATTTAAGTCGATAACCCCAACCACGTCTGTGGTGAAAATTTCGGCATGTTTGGAAAAAATATTTCGTAAAATAGTTGAAAGTCGCGAGAAAAAAATTGCCGAGCATAATATAAAAGAAATTGAATTTTTGAAATCACAATGCAAAGCGGAAAATGTACAACTTGGCTTGATGAGCTGTCAGACGTTTGTACGTTTGGTGGAAGACGGTGTCTTGGAGGCCAATAATGTTTTGCCCATGCTGTTATCAATGTTGCCTAATTCCAGGTGAGTACTTATGGTCTTTTATTATGGTTTAAGGAAATTATTGACTAAAATGTAATTGTTGGTGTTCTCTCGGAAATATAGGACGAAATTTGTATGAGATTCCAAATTTGAATTAGATAAATATAGAAAAAAATTGTTATAGAAATAAAAATATAATTATTTAAAATTATAACTATTTAAGGGAACACCCCCCCCCCCCCCCCACCCCCTTTTTCGTTTTTTTATTTTTAAGATTTTAAATGGGCTGGTAAATGAATACCAATGCTTGTTAAGGTTTGTAACTTTGTACATACATATATATTTGAGAAAAATAATTTACAAAAAATTTTTGTTATTGTTTTGTTGTTGTTTTTTGTAATTAAAGAAAAGTGCTTATTTTTGATGGTGGGCATGATAACTCCCCATTGGAACATCGGAATCCGAAAATTTCAACGGTGTTAGAAAGAGACATGTCTGGCTCTCGTATGAACTAGGATTATTGACTTCGCTCTAAAATTAACAAAATGGCGGACCTTAAACAAAAATATTTTTCGAAAATCGCCGATTTTTTTTACCAAAAACCAAGTTAAAAAATAAGGAAGATCTTCACCGATTGGCTTTATCCTAGTTCATACGATAGCTATACACTCACAGAGAAACGTGTAAAAATTTGGAATCGATTGGGTTATTCGTTTTTGAGTTATCGTGCCCGCCATTCGCAAAAGAGAAAAACGCGTTTAAAGTTTGAGAAGCCCTTTAGCCCTCACTTGATGGTGATACAATAAATCGGCTATATTTTCAAGAGTTCTTGAGATTTTCACTTGAAATTTTGTAGAGACTTTCTTGAATTAGTGTAGATTCGAATTAAATAAAAAAAAATTTTGACCCCGAAAATGGGGGGGGGGGGGTCCCCTTAAATCAAATTTAATCTATAGTATTTCCATTCAAATCAATTCAATTTATTTCATAAACAAGAACCTAGCCCAAAGGGCCATGAGCGATTCCAAAAACTTATTTTCATAAGTTTTGAATGAAAGGAGTTTTTATGAATATCATTGTAAAGCTATTTCCGGGTATAAGAATTGAAGAATTTTGTAAATGATATTTACAGGACCAATTAGTGTGCCTTTTTCAAAATTTTAATTTATTATCATTTTTTATTTCTAGACAAAAAAGTGGAATTTTAAGTACTATTTCTAGTACAAATAAGCGTGGATTTTAAAAATAGATCAATGGCCAATAAGCGTAGACCAATAATGAATGTTTCAAAAAAACTACAAGCGTGGATTTGTAAAAAATACTTGAAATGGCATAGAATTTTATAAAATAGTTCATGTGCCAATAAGCGTAAATATTTCAAGGACCTGCGTAGTATTTATTATTCCGTTTGTAACACCTCGAAATATTCGTCGGATACTTGAAGCCGCATTTCCAACCGAAAATAATATAATTTTGCACGAGTTCATTCTTAGTAAAGAAAATACTTCTTGCCACAAAATATTCATTCATAGTTTAATGTTACTCTATATATACATAGTTCCGCTTAATCTTTGCAATTTTAAAGTACATAGATTCGATTTTCACTCTTGGCGTCTAGACAATTTACAATGACATACTCTTCATAAAAATGGCGCGACATCACATAGTGGGGGTTATAAAAAGTTCGGTGGGCCGAACTTAAAAACGTTTTTACTTGTTGCAAGGTCTAAATATACGTCAGTTTTTACATATAGTTATAAATCATCTACGATAGATAAAATATGCCTTTTTACAAAATCAATATGTTTGTAAAAATCTACCGTCCCGATGGCATTCATAGCATAATCCTAAAGTATTGTTCAGATACATTGACTATCCCTTTAACGCTGTTGTTTAATTATTCCCTGAAATTTAGTCGTTTCCTACCTTCTGGAAGAAATAATTTCCTTATACAAGTCTGTGAAAGGTCGTTTACATTGAACCGGATTTGGTTAACCCAGTGGGTTTAAATTTTCAATTCCTTTGAATATATGCCAAATTAATTCTCATAAAGTAGGTTAACCCGGTAAAAAATTCTAATGTAAATTCCGTATTAGCTTAACTAATGTCTCGAATTATTCGAATTCGAAAAATTTATTACTGATGTAATTTCTCATAAAATTCAGCCAATCTTAAGTCCATATCAACATGGTTTTCGTAGTGGCCTCTCAACCACAATTTTCTTCAACCGTTATAAAAGGTTTTATTCAGCATAATCAAACCGATACAATAAAGCTTTTGACAAGGTTAACCATGAACTTTTAATACAAAAATTTAATAAAATTGGCTTCAGTATAAATTTAGTTAAATGAATGTCATCTTATTTGCGAAATAGATCAGGAATATTTTTGCTCGATTATAACCTCTCCAAATCCATTGACGTTACTTCGGGTGTTCTCCAAGAAATTCATTTACGCATTGTTTAGCATTTTTTCAAGGGCTAGTCATTGCAAATTTTTTAAAGAATGTAATTTTTAAGGACTAATATTTGAGAATTTTTTAATGAGTATTATATGAACACATTACTTATAGAACGTTTACATTGTACCACATTTATTAAATCCAGTAGATATAAATTGTCAATTCCTTTACACATATGTCAAATAAATCCTCATAGATGATTCTAATGTAATATTATTAATACTCGTTTAAAAAAATAGGTGCAACGTTGACGCTACAATTTCCGATGTAGGTATTGCTCGTCCAATATCATTTAAATCATTCACTATAGACACTATATTTTATAGACCAACATAATTCCGTATATATAATATTATTCGTACTATTTAGAATATAAAATACTTCACATTTTCTACGGAGTTTTTCCATTTATTCAGATGCAATTTTTTAGTTTTTTTTACAATTTTACCTTTTGTGATCCTGTAGTCCATTTTCCAATCGCAATGAAATATGGTATTTCCTATAATCTATGGGTAGATAAGGCTTCCATACAAAAACTACTAAATATAGATTCATGCTTTAGCCAGCCCATTTAGCTGCTTTATTTTAGGCATTCGTGAGTGACTTAGTACAATTTAAAAGTTGCAACAATTTGTTTAGTATGCTAATATTAAAATTGTCTACTCCAAAAAATTGTCTATACGCATACATATTTCAGCATGAACGCTTAAGCATACAGCAAGTTATTGAGATATGTATATTTTTTCGTTATATACGTTGGATTTGAAATATATTGCAAATCTAATTTCAATTGGTGTACTTAACGACCTACTTATGTGTATGAGTGCCCCTAAATGTAGCGACGTATGTCCTGTAAACCTAAGCCAATTGAAGCTTTTGAACACACGCTCAACTCACCATTCATGCACACATTCACACCTATACATAAACAATTAACATGAGAAAAGCCAACGACCATTGTTGGTCAAGGTATGCCAAGTAGTTAGAAACGGAAACTCTAGCCATAAAACATGACCCAAGTAGGAAGAGTTTCGTGTTGTTTTCGTAGACATGAAAAATTGGGTAAAACAAAAACAAGTAAAAAAGAATAAAAGAAAAATATAAGAGAACAATGTCAAAAGCAACACAAAACGAACAAATTATAAAGGAACTTCCAAAGAGGTTTGTAAACATTAGAAATGGAACTGTTAATCTTCTAGTGCTAGTTGTATGTAAGTTCAAACAACAACAACAGCTATAGTCATATAAGCTAAAGCAACCAAAGAAATCAAGGGTGGCAGAAAGGCGTAAAAAGAAAATTTGAAATAATTTATGCTGATGTTTATCCTTGACATCAACATTTTCTTTCTTTGGATTTAAATTTCATGTTATTAAACAAACACCTGTGCATTGCATTTTGATAATTGTGTAAATTTTTAATAATGCCTTATTATTTGTAGTATTATTAATATTACGGATAGAATTTATTCTTTTGAATGTAGCATTTAAATACAAACAACATTTTTTTTAATTTTTCCAATAACTTTTATTATAGTACGTTTATAGTATTGTAGTACAATCCGGTTATTTCGGATCCTTTTAAATTTTGCACATACATACATTGTTATTATCTCTAGGATGTTTGACATTGAAAATTAATAGGTTCATGTTTTGATATAGTCCTATATAACGGTACACCCAAATATTCGGTATTTTGGGTTTTTTTGGCAAGTTTTTCAACCGAATTGTCTGTTATTTGATATCTTGGGATATGATTGGATAATTATCAAAATCGAACCCTTTTTTTAGGATAGCCCCCATATAACAATAACTCCGAAATTTCGGTATTTTGAGGAGTATGGGTATGTTTTTCAAACGAATTGGCTGAAGTATTGGTTTGAAACATTTGTCCTCTACGAGAACCTACCATTAATCACAAGGATGAAAAACAAAGGCTATGAGTTTAAACCTTTGTGGCCCGAATTTTATTCCGTGACCATAGAACGATTTTATTATGTGCACTGATTTAATGCAACTGCCCTAAATAGAATTTAAACAAAATTTGACGGCGCTACATCCTTGCATTCGGAAGATACAGTACATTCTTTCTTGAAAATTAAAGTTCAATAGCAAGAAGAAAAAATGCAAATTAGACGGAAAAATCATTTTAAATTTTTCTATATATTCTTCTTCACAAGAATCAAAAATAATTCTAATGGCAGAATTCGTACAATTCGAATGCGAAGCGATTTAAAAATTTTAGACTGTACACACAAATTAGTACTGTACCCATTTTTGTCCTCTTCTCTATATTGACTAGCTCATAACTTTACCAAAAATTTGGAATTTTTTAGAGTTTTCTTTTGATATCTGTCGTCCCTAATAAGGTCCTGACATATGTATTCTAAAAAATATATATTTACTAGCTGTGTATTAAATATAGGCTCTAAAACATTTTGTTGTCTGTGGGCAGACATTGCCATGTGTAGACATTATTATAAAATTAAAGTTCCACTCAACGTATCCGTTAAAAATCTTAACAGACATAAATCTCGAGCTAATTCACATTCATTAAAAACAATGAATTATATAAGATATCCATT